TACAGTTTTTAGATTTACAGTGAAAAAAGAAATACTTTAGTTTTAAAATAATTATGGAAGACTGAAAACAAATTTAGATTATAATTTTTTACTTAAAAATAATAAATAATAAGCTGGGTAAAGTAAAACTTATTTAAAAAGTCTTCACGTATATTTTAAATTTATTCAGTTGCATGTTACATTCTTTGAAAGATCCTGCTAATTATTTATTTATTTATTTTTTTTTTTTATTAATAAGATATGATAATGGTGGAATACACAAACATAGAAGGTTTACCTACGATGTGGCTAGGTAGGTACTTAAATTATTAATTAGTTTTACACTTTTCACATTTCAATTACAACTCTTGATTACGATGAATCACGTTTTTGTTAGATATTTAAAATCTTAAATTACACAACTTTGAATTTAGGTATGCTCGACACGATTACATGAATACTTTATTTAAATATTATTATACTAACAAATTCAATATATATATATACGATATAATTACTTATATATTAATTATTCAAATTTTGAACATATAAAATGTGTATTGGATATAAGTTTCTTATTTTAGATTCTGAGCGGAGCAATGCATGTATTGATTATAATATAAATAAGTGTTTTGATTTTCTGCATTTATTCATCTGTAAATACCTTTGGCGGAACAGTAAAAATGCTTCAATTTTCAGCTTTAAGGGGGTTTCTGCCTTCTGGTAACACTAGATCTAGTTGATACTTTAAATGTTCAACATTCTCGGTACTTTTCAAGATCATCAAAAAAAAATTTCGGAAAAACGAAAAAAATCGATTTTTTAGTTTATACTTTATTGTAATTAAAGAAAGAACAACCGAACAAAATTGTATAATTAATAACTTTTTTTATACCTAGTCTTTAAAAGTTTGAAATTCTGATAGAATTAGATGTATTCAAACGTATTACAATAACAATTACTCATAAAATCATAAAACGGTTTTTTATTTTTATTATGACCTTAAAATCTCTTAAAAATGCATGCAAATATGCCCTTAGAACAATCAAATATAACATTTGATGTAGTAAAAATTAAATTTTACTATTCATTATTAATTTAATTATAGAAGATAACAAAATATAGATACCTACTAGATTCTACTTCTACACGTTTCATATTCACGTGTTCGCGAAGGTTGTGACACCATCCTATATAGGTACCTAATGTAACGTATGTGTAGGTACGTCTGTAAACCCATGTATATGATACGCTTGGAACTACCTTGCATGGCGTGAATGAGTACCAATACACGGTAAATCTGATAATAAAAATTAGACTTTTAAACATTTCTTTGAAATATAAAATTAAAGAAAAATGATAAAATGACCTAAAAATTATGAAGTATAAAATGTAGAATAAATATAAAGCAATATTGATTAAAAAAAAACCAAAAAATGTATTTATAGGCTACGGCCAAAAAGATGGAAAATTAAATGTAATATAGGTAACTGCTTCTAATTTCTATATGTAATACCAAATGGATTTGAAAATTACAAACCTGCAGGCCTAAAAAATAATATTATGTAAAAGTATTATAGACTATATAATATTAACTATTAAGTATAATATATACAGATATACTATAATAATATTTACGTCGTTTTTTTAGTTTAGATAGATTGATTGATCAAATTTCTTTTTGATATTTTGATGAAAATTATAAAGTAATTAACCAATAATTTTTTTGATTTCTTGTTTTTACGATTTAGACTATTAGTTTAATAACATTGAAATTTTCAGTACCTATAGCTTATAGGTACTAATTAGTGCCAAAAAAGGCACAATATTACGTGTTGTTTTTATACAAACCATGGTTGTAAATACTAAATAGAACAGCAGCTATTTCATCTGATAATTATATTAAATGTACTGTAATTTTCCCTTAGTAATTGACAGTTGGTCAATACTCAATAGGTACTCTCAGTTGTCGGACACTACTACACTAGATTGGAACACAACAAAAATGTATTTAAAAAGTAAAAAAAAAAAACAAAATACTTAGGTGATCAGTATCAGATTTACACCCCATACCTAGGTACTTACTTACGGCACTTTCATTTTATTTTTGGCGGGCTAGAGGGGGCGTTTTAGGAAAAAAATGGTGCAAATGCATACCCTGCCCCACTCAAATGACACCCCTGAGTTCCTACTTACAAACTATAAAGTGTACAAGGTACAACATTAAACTGTACGTCTGTAACAGTGCAACAGACGGTACAACTGTATCCAACAAGCGGGCAATAAGTATCACGAAATTCTTATACAATTATGTCAAATAACAATGGGTAACTAAGAACTTACAATAATTGGGTGTATAAAAAACATACTATAGCTGTAGTAGGTGGTATAGGTACCGTATAATATATGCCTAATGTAGCAGTACGATACGATTATTATATACCGGCGGGTACTTATCTAGCGATGATAACTATAATTTATAGTAATATTTCTTAAATCGTGAAAGTTTCAAGTGATAACGATAAAATAAATAAGAAAACTAACGTAGTGTATTTATATTATAAGGTGCCTATAATATATGCTAAATATATATTTAACTTGTAGATAAAATTATCCATTATGTTTTTTTAAGGCAACTAAAATATTTAAATTAAGAACTAATTCCCCTAAATTAACATGGTCGTAAATACCTATACCGAAGTTTACCTAAAATTAAAAAACTCTTTTAGATTATTTTTTATTTATTTCTCCGAGTGTTGTAGTTTTAGTAAGGCAGGTACCTACCAATTTAACATTTAAATAAAATATCAGGACTCAGGAGACTTTAGATTATAATATAGTCTTTGTTTAATCACTATCTCTAACTAGTTAGGCACTAGTTATTTTAAATAAACTATATGGGACATGGGTCATGGGTGTATGTGTACCTTTTCAGTTCGAAATCTTTAATGTGGAAATCTCGAACAAAAATTAACAATCGGAACTATGAAATGAGAATTTTTTTTATACAGTTTGACTGAATTGTACCTTAGTGTGAATAATCTAATTTGCTTTTGAAAATAAAAAAATGGTTTGTGAGAGAACAGCGTATGTATATTTTCCAATCATTAGGAGTTTAAAACCTCGTCGCCGTTTTCGGATACGTGGTGAACATATTTTGTTTGCAATCATTTATATTTAATGAGAAATAATCAGACAATTGACTCTAAGAATTAAACGCATTCTTATTTATTGTAATACCTACACATTTATTATTTTTACCAAACTAGTACATATCTATTTGAACAGATTTTACTCTTAATTTTAAAAGTGTATAAATATAGCAGCACAATGCACATTATAGTATCAGCTATGGTGCATGAAATGCCACCATAGGTTCATCACGTGTGATTTCTTTGTCAGTCAAACGTGAGCAAAGTGCAAATTATTAATTAACCAGTATAATGTATTATCAGTCATGTGTCAGACTTCTCACACCAATCTGAATTGGCCCGAAAATATGAAGTGCATGTTTTTTTATACACGTTTATAAATAAAAATTACGAACTAGGTACGAACATTTGATTTACAACGTAAATGTCAGGAAGAGAGAGCTTAATAAATGCAATAATTCAAGGTTCACGGGGGAGCATTTGATACACAATAATATGTATACAATTAGCATTACTTACACGCACGATGTTTGCGATTTGATTAATTTGATTGATAAACATTTACGCATATAGGCCAGTGTTGATTAATAATAATCGCCTCATCTAATCTACGACATCTAGATATCACGTGATCTACTAAATTTTAATAGTTTAAGATGCACAACAACAGAATGTATGTGTCACCGCATCATTAAAAACAGTACTATACAGTGGCGTACGCAGGATTTTTGAATGGTGGGGGGGGGGCTTGAAAATTAGTTACAATTTTATTTTTATTTTGTCCAGTCTAATAATTTCAGACGTTTATTTTAGGCATTTTAAACTGTTTGTAACTTCTCAACTTTTCCGGTAGAAAAAATGTTCTGATCATAAACGTCGATGCCTGTCGGTCGATGTATGTTTTTGGAAGAAAATTGGATCTAGTTGGTACTTTTAGAAGGTCAAAATTGAATGCTCAGTGCTTTCTAAAATAATTGGAGAAAAAAATGAAAATTTATTAAAATTGTTTGGTAACCAGCTTGGTTGTACCGTCCTCACTTGGATTGTATTTGATTAATTAAAATTTTTTTTTCTATAAATGTCAATAAAAAATTATTTATTCGGTCAAAAAGCTTAAAAATGTAATACGTAAGTTTTTATTATAGCTAAAATATTAACGATACATATAGGCATCATGGTTATGTTCCAAAAACATTTAAAGTTCAAATTTCGTCAAAACCACAGTTAATTTGTAGTTCAAAACTTATAAAATATTAAATGTGTATAGCTAAGGCTAGACAATTTAATACAAGGTCTTTCATACATGTAGTTCATACTTTAACCGAAAAATTACAGATAATTTATGAAAATTGTTATGCAAAAACATTGTTTTTTCAAACTTGAATTCATTCTGGTAAGACATATATGAAATTTAAGTTTTGTTTTCTATATTTAACAGTTGAAACTTGATAAATAGTTTTTTTTAAAGTAATAATAATACGGAAATGGGAGGGGCTTCAGCCAGTTAGCCCCCCCCTGCTGACGCTACTGGTACTATACAATTTTCATTGAGATTAGGAATAGATACTTCATGATTGATGGAATATTAAACAGAAATTGTAAACTGTGATGCTTAGTAGTTTAAATATTATTTTATTGTAATCAATTTAAATATTGTCCAATTAATCAGTGTGTTCAGGTGTTCTCCTTAAAACTTTAATATTTATAATGTAAATCTAAGAAATTTAATGTTAATCTTCAAGACATTTTTCTATAAATCTTAGATTTACATTTAAATTACATCATAGTTTAATGTATTTGTAGAGGTTATCAGTTACAATAATTAAATGTATAAATAAAATTAAATTTAAGCTCTATCTATGTACAATTTCACATTTGAGGTAGTCTTATAATATTAGTAATATGGCTGAACAAGATATTGAAAGTTTCATAATTTTTCATTGTGGTTACATCACCAATCATTATTAGCTTATGTTTTGCTCTTGTTATAGCTACAGTTATTCTTCTTTTATCACTCAATATACCAACATCCTTAAAATATATAAACAAAACAAATGTATATAATGTACAATTAATTAGTAAATTAATTGTGTTACCTTAGAAACAGTATTTTTTGTACACGAGTATATTATAACTTCTTTATCTCGTCCTTGATATTGATCTACTGTGTTGACTTCAATTTGTGAGTGCACACAAGCCATCGCATTTTTTAAAAGTGCTACTTGGGCTCTATAAGGGGCAATGACACCAATTGATGTAGCTGAAAGTCCACCCTAATAACATAGACATCATTAAAACATTGTTAATAAACATTTAAAGATTTTAATTTACTTGAATTAAAAGTAAAACAATTTTTCTGACAACTTTAATTTCCATCAAATTTGTGTCTGTTGAACTACTATACACGGTTCCTGTATCCAAGAGTAAAACAGACTTATCTAAATCTGATGATACAATATCTTTACACCAATCATCATTATCCTAAAATGTAAGTATATTAATTTATTTTCACAATACTAATGTTAAAAAATATAAGCTCACATTTGTTTCATTAAGTTTAAGTGTTGCATATTTTACAGAATCATTGGCACATTGCAAACTCCCGTTATAAGTATATTTATTGGCAAGTTCTGCTATAGGACCATTCATTCGATACTGAACATGAAGTACGGCAGTAACAGATGGCCTATCTAATCTGTCAAACATACTGACATCCATACCCAATTCTCTGAAATAGTTTAATTACCATGAATGCATTTTTACTATATAGCAAATAATATGAACTATGAGATTTAAATTTTACTTTGCTTTTTGATTTTTAATTAGAGGTGGTAGTTGTTGAGGGTCACCAACTAAAACAAACACCTTGGAAGAATTAAGAGCTGCTATAACTGATGACTGTACCACTTGGGTAGCTTCATCAACAATGCATACGTCAAATGTACGTTTTTGAAGTAATGCGTGTCCACACCCAAGACATGTCACACCAACAACATTCTATCATAATTTTTTTTGTTCTTATTAAACACTCAAAGATAATTAGAAGAGTATAATACCGCTTGATTGTACAGCTTTGATAACTTTTCAGGCGTGTCACAACTTTGAGAGACCACTTCATCACATTTTTCCCACAGATCTGGGTGAACACGCGTCTTTGAACCCAATCTCAAAAAATCAACTTTATGTTTATGTAATAACAATAATAAATTGTCAACAGCAGAATGAGTATGAGAAGTGACCAACACTGAACGACCCATCAGTACAAGTAATCGAATAAGAGCAGCCACAGTTGATGTCTTACCAGTTCCAGGCATACCTTTAATGAGCGCATAGTTGTCTGCAGCCAAAGTCTTGATAATAGCAGATCTTTGTGATGAATTTAAATTTAAAGTTAATCCTGAGCTTTTAATGAATGAATCTAAGTGATTGTCCGATGATAAAAATGAAGGCATTTCTTTATCAATAATAAATCGTCTTAATTGAGCTGAATTTTCACTCGGTTCTAATAAAAGTGCTAAACTAGAAAAATTAAATGCTACCATCGATTGTGACTCATATTTATCTACATGGAATTCGGTAGGTCCTAGTTTGGATAAATCTCTGAAAAATTAAATCTTATTAATTACAAATAAATGTATTTTTCAAATTTATTTTATTTTACCTATCTAATAAAATATTAATTGATGTTTCAGTTAAGGTTGATATAAAACCAGTTGCAACTGCATTTCGATGATTTGTACTGACTACTACATAATTATTGAGAGAGAAATTAGTATGTTTGATTTTATCAGATTTCTTTGATTTTTCCATTGTATTTAAATAATATCGGTTTCCCTGTTCTTTCACCACATTTTTTATTTTCAATGAACTAATACAGTTTCCACGTTTCTCACTAAAAAAAATATAAATGCACTTAATATCTACAACATCAAATAATTATAAATATAATGATTTATCACTAACCGTTCAAAATAAGACAATGTCCATAAATCACTAGATTTTGCACTTAAATTATCTCTAGTATTTTCAATTGAATTTTCCAACTGTAAAAAAGCAGTCCACTGCATTACATAATTAATATGTTCAGATTTTAAATGGCTTATAGCTTGAGGGCCTAAACTTTTTAGTGGATTATGATGATCCAATTTTTCAAAACCTTCTTTGCTACAATTTGTTTTTGTTTGCCAACAATATATTAACAATACAATTAATATAATAAACAATAACATAAATAATCAAATAAAAAATTTTTAATTTTACCTTAAAACGGCAGAACATGCAGTTAAATAAGGACATTTTGAGCATGCACTGTGATGGTTTATGGGTTCAGGCAATATTGGAATATAGTCATCAATAGGGTCTGAAACTATTTTATTTGCATTCAAATAGTGTACAAGTCGATTACGTAGCATTATCAAATCTCGTTTTTCTCTATGACCAACTTTTACTTGAGTCAATACATTTTCTCTGCAGCCATAAAATATGCATTGGTAATTAATTAATTACAAAATGAAAACTTACTGTTAACATTTACCTGAGATATAATAATAAGCCTGAATCTACATCCATACCCAATTCTTTCATCATTATTGTATACAATATTACTTGGCCACGATGCTCCTCACTTCCAGAAGCTCGGCCAGTTTTCAATTCAATAGGCATTGTTTTGGATTTACCGTCATAATTGGCTAGTACAGTAATATCTACTTTACCCTTGACACCAAATGCTGGTACCCATAAATTATCTTCTATATCTTCAATTGAAACTATTTTGCCTTGCCAAGTCTTTTTGTCCTTCACTCTAATAATTTAAATAATCTATTTTATTACTCAATTATATTTTTGGTTATTAAATTACATTATGAAACCAACATTTATAAAATAAAGTCAAGTTTTAAAACAACAGTATAGGTAGGAAAATATCCTTTAAATGGCATTTGTTTCAATCCCTATAGTCATTTGATTCTAGATACATTTTACAGGATAATAATATTACCATTAATATTGATAAATATAATTTAAGTATAACTTACATTTGATTATCAAGCAAATAAGTTCTAACAAAGTTTTGAATTTTTGGTATAAAATCCATCAGCTCTTTTTTGGTTGTTTCAAAATTCATATCAGATTCATAAAGGGTATGCACAAAACCTGGACTGTTTATCATTTCATCTACCACAGTTTTGATGTCCTTTTGATTAAACTGCTTTCTTTTTAAAACCTATATATATATATAAAAAAAAAAGATGAATATGTTTAAATATATGGAAACAATAATTTTTTTATACTAACCGTTTGAAGCAATTGGTGGAGAAGTGTTCCAATAACCATAACAGCAGAGGAACAGTCGAGTCCTTTATATATGTCCGCAAGAACTGAACGCCGTGAACAAAATAATGATCCAACAATTGTTGTGCCAGACACCAAAAAGTCCGAGTGTCTGGTAACAAAACCATGATCGCTATTTACTGACCAGTGATCGTCGACTTTTTTTGCCATTACAAATACAATATCTCCTACTTCAAATAAACTATGAAGCCTATAGATACAATTAATTATAAACAAGACTTTATAAGTATCAAGAAGGTACACAAAATTAATAATTGATAAGGTAATTAAATAATGAAATATTTACCAAATGCCACCGAGATGACATACATCTTCCTCATAACTTTTACAGGAACTCAAAGTTAAGCATAATTTTCCAAAATCTTTTTCGATTTTTTTAATAATACATCGATGTGGTTCATTTAAATTAATATCGCTAAAATATATAGATTTTAAATATCTTATTACAAGGGTATATTGTATATTTTTAATGAGGTTCTTAAGAACTATAAACTAACCAATCCAACAAGAAGTCTGAACTAAATTCAGTATACGAGCTTTCTACTGATACTGTATCAATTGAATAAGACTGACTATCGACATCATTATTGTCGTACCTAGGTATTTCCGTGCTCTTTGTAAATGAACCTAAATTTTCATTAGACAAATGTGAAGCAGAATCTGTATTTAAAACGGTCAATTTATTTTTGTGTTCAATTTCATCAACTAAAACACGATTTAAACATCTTTTAGATTTAGTAGCTTCTCTCTTTTTCTCCAACACCGGGGATGGTGGTATAACATCTGGACTTGATAGTGGGCTTGAAAAAGATTTGGTGTTAGGAGTTGTACAGGGTCCATTTTCATTACATTCTATGATAGTTTCTGATGACTCCGGAGGCATGCGTGAAAATAGAGAAGTGATTTTCATCTGCTTGGAACTACTCGCCTGGCTCTGAAAATAACACTAATATGAATATCATAGTGAATATTTTTATTAGTGTGTTAAAGTTATAAGTACCTTTTGAACTTTACTATGAGATCTTTTCATCTCGATTGGTCACTTACAATTATAGGACAACAATGATTTAAAAATTAAAATATTAGTTAATTATGCAATTACCTATTTCATACCAAAGCAATGTATAAAAAAAATTATTAATACTTAAAAATAAATCACAATTACATTTTTATAACGTTAATTTCAATTTTGGTATAGGATACAGCAGTTTTAGGCCGCGGTTTTAAATTTTATCAATATATTCAATTCTAAACTGCAGAATAATAAGTATTATCAATGGATAATATGGACGATAAAAATTCCCGCCATTTATTTATTAATAATATTTTCACCTTTATTGTTACATTATAAACCAGTCTCAACCAGTCTATAAATTAATCTATAATTAATATAGAAACTTCGTCCGTTGACTGTGTTATAAACTCTGTGATTTTGGGCTTTGGCACTAATTGCTTTACTTGTTTCATAGTTCTATGACATACTAAAAGACACTTGTTAGGTACCATTTTGAAATAAAGTATTTTTAGTTGATTCAATTTGATCATAGACTTTAATATTAATAATATTTCTTTATAGGTCTATGGATTTAATTTTCAGATTTATAGAATTCAAAATATATGTTTAGTAGGTAGGTACCTAACTTCAAAGTTAAGATAAAACAATAAAAGATGCTCTGCTGTACAATAGGTTACAAGTGGGTCACTGTATAATGGATGGTATTAAACTTGAATTCAATGATATAATATCATTGTATAAGAAAAACGATTACGATGTCAGTATAGGTATCAGACATATTATAATATACTTATCTATGGTATTAAAAAAAATTGACCTATAATAAAATCCAAATTAATCATATCACGCGTTATACATCAACAATAAACCCTGATACTATCATAGATATATAATAGACAAATAGACAATAGTGCACTTTAGAAGTTTCAAGTACCCACGAATGATATTATACAATCACAACAAAATAACTAAAATAGTTATTCAAGGTTAATCTTGTTTAAATTTCAATCCTTAGATATAAAAGTTGAACATTTATAAATTATTAACTACAAATAATTATTCAATTTTAAATTTGATACATTTTGTCAAAATTCCATCTTTAAATGCTTATAAAAAAAAATTGTGCCCATGTATTTTAAATATTTTTCAAGTGCTATTTGTAACAATATATCAGGAGCTTTGCATTAAATTTTCACTCTTTTCTACACAACAAATAAAATTTGATTGATAATTATAGAAAAAAAAACTAAAAAAATTGAAAATGTCCGTAAACAGCTCAAAAAGAGTCAAAATATTTCAAAATTGTATGGTGTATAGGAAATGCTAATATAAATATTCAGTGAAATTTTCATGTATCTACAGTCATTCGTTTTTTAATTACAATAAAATTAGAAAATCGTTACATGAGAAATCAAGTAAATATCAAATGTAAAAATATGAATTTCAAACGCTCATAAAAATTTAATTTGAGTTTCTTGTAGACATTTTTTTTTTTTGATAAAGGTAGACAAACTTATGAGGAATCTTGTATTACATTTTCATATCTTAAATTTAAAAAGAAAAATTTTTACGAATTCTTAATTCAAAATAATTTGTTAATTTTCGTGAATTTTCTATATTTTGTAAATTTTTGAACTTTAAATACTTGTAAAAAAAAACTGTGACTAAGGATTTTTAATATTTTTCATCTGCCTTTGAAACAATATGGTAAGAGCCTTCTATTAAATTTTCAAGCTTTTTTAACGAACAAATAAAATTTTATTGATATTTTTAGTAAAAAATCTAAAAAAAAATGGAAAATGAAAATGTCCCTAAACAGTTCAAAATAAATCAAAATATATTGAAAATTTCATCGTGTATAGAAAATGCAAATATAAACAACCAGTGAAAATTTCATGTAAATACATTCATTTGTTTTAGAGTTACACCGAAAACCAAAATCGATTTTGTGTAAAAATTCCCGTTTTCCTTAATTTTTATGTTGTTTTTGGAATCTATTAGGAAATTCAAAATTTGATTTCCCGAATGCACTAGATTTCCTTTCTCATGCAGAAAATCATGAAGAAAATCAAAGCAGTTTTACTGCCCTAAACCGTGATGAGACACAAAAAATAAAAATTTAAAAATTTAAAAAAAAAACACAATTGTTGTAAAATCAATACATTCATCGTTCCACTCAGAATCTTAAACACACATAATTGCCATACATTCATCGTTTCACTCAGAATCTAAAATTGGTTAAGATCAGTATACGGTCAGTGACAGATCCAGGGATTCATTTTTTTTAGGGGGGTGGGGGTGAGGGGGCAAAAGTACAAAATTGCCTATACACAGTGTAGAACATAGGGAATCTATGGACATTGGGTGGAAGGGCAAATGCCCTCCGGATCCGCTTGTTGCTTATTAGAAAAACTCTATATTGAAAGGAGGCAATAGGGTTTATTGTTACTAGCTACTGTAGCTACTCTAGTACAAATCTACTGACCTAAACTCAACACCATAGAAAATATCATTAGACAGTTGTAGCACAGACTATAATATATCATATATTCCTACTATATAATATAATGTAGGTACTTATTATTTATCGATGGACGATGACAGTAGGCACCATTGGCTGAATTGTACTTGAAATGTAAACATATTATGGTGTCTTATAAATTATGCAAATCTTAGTTTTAATATGGCTGCCATTTAATATAACTGCATTATCAATGTTTGAAGATTTACTTTAAACCATTAACTAAGATATAGGTACTATATTAAAGGGGACCTTTAATCTGTGTATAAAAGTATGCTATTATCTTGAATGTTAACTAATTATAAATGAGCGAATGCACTATAATGTATAACATACATGACATTTAATCTAAATAATATTATCAATTTGCATGAAATTTAAACACAGAAGTATTTACATATTTATCGATTAAACAAATTACGAGCTTGAAATAAGGAAGCCAACATAAATGAAAGTAATTTAAACTTATTATAAACTAAAATAATATATATATTTAAATGTATGAACTAATGGGTCTCTAAACTAATACGTTACCCTATAATTTAAAAAAAAAAACAAATAAAATTAAGTTTAAAAATAAAATATTTTGCATCTCAATGAGCTTACAAATTATAATACAAAACAATATTAAATAAAATTAATTAATCATTTAATTTACATACATTAAAAATTACATCAGTAAGACAACTTATTGATGTTATTAATTATTTACATATTTTCAAAAAACTTATTAAAGTAAACTTAGGTTTTAGCCATATTTCAATCATCAAATATTTCAATCACGTCAATGGGCTCTTGTTTAATTTCAGATGCAGATAGTAATCTAGTCCCTAGTTTATTTTGTCGAATTTGTTGTACTTTTTTCTTTACTGCCATTGCACCTATTTACAAATAATTAAATATATAATTAAAATTTGAGTTTAAACGAATATTTTTTATTTTATTATAATACCTTAAACATTAAATTATAGTAAAATAGTTGATTTAAAATCAATTTTATTGAATAACCTAAAATCAATCATACAATATAAATTTAATTACATTTAGTAGTTTGGTACAATACTAATAAGTTCTCTTTCGATTTCTGTTTATTTTGATTCCTTTTGCTACTGTTATTTGCAGCCATTAGTCTAAAAAAGTCAATAATTATATGCTTTTATAATAAACAGGAATATAATAAACTAGTATAGAAGTATATGATTAAACTATATACATAATAATTACAGTTTTATATTATTATGTATTAGTATTAAAGTATTATTATATTAAAATAAATAAGATCATGAAAATTATAGTTCTTACGAGCTTTTAGGGGATTCAAATAGCCTAAATATACCATTTCCACTAGTTGTTGACATGTTCAATGGCTGTAACAAATAAATTTAATTTAAGTAAAAATGTATTTATGTATACATATATTATAAGATAGGGATACTATCTGATTAAACATACACTGTCTCTTAATTCAATAAAGTAAAATATTAGAAGACTGAACAACATAATTAATAGTGGTAGCCGATTATCATTATTCATTGTTAGCACTTCGACCGAGGATAGTACAACAAATGGCACCAAGAACAAGTAAATTGATATCCTGTTTAAAAGTAACAAATAATTAATAAGTCAAAGGAAAATCCTATAAAATGATTAATTGTTGATTCTTTTCTGCTTACCAAATAACACAATGTACAACAAACTGTCCAAAGCTTAATATTTTGATTAACATACTATTTGTTTTGTTATGACAAACTTTCAAGAGTCTAGCTGCTTCTAATGTTCCGAGCGATAAATTAGACAGCCCAAGGAATACAAAACCTGCTTCTGTACAGCTGTACAATTTTAAATACTACTAGTATTAGATCACTTTGATTAAGGCCTAAAAACCAATTTTAAAGTTCCTCAGAGTATAATATTACTAAGGCACTAGAATAAGTAATTTCAATTACCCAAAACAGTATGTAGAAGCAAAGAAACTAAGTACAGCACCTTTCTTTAATGTGCTTAATAATGGTCGCTCTTCTAAATTGTTTGCAAATGATGTGTAAACGCTGTGTAATAAACATGAATAGAGTATGATAAACTTAAAATTTCTTGATGGATCCACAGATTCCGTCGTTGCACAACGATCCATCATATGGCGAAATGAATCCAGTAACCAGTACATTAAGGATGAATCTGATGATGTAGACGGTTTAAATGTCGAAAAACATATTGGGACACTAATGAAACAAAATACTCCACTAGTCAATGAGTGAAATAAAACATTTACTTCCGGTAACTTGAATTTGTGTGATGAATACATTGAAATACATTTCTAAAACAAAAAAAGTAAGTATTATATAATATGTATTTATATTTTATATTTCATGTTAAATAGAAATTGATTAATGTACCTCAAAGAATCTGGCAATTCTTTTGAAAAGAACTAACCACAGGATAAACATAATTCCAATCCCAATAATAATAACATTTTCTTTTAAAAACAATGCAAACATGATTAAATTTTTAATTTATTAACTGTATTTTTTTAAAACTGTTGCTCTGTAGAAAAAACTTAAATTCAATTTTATAAAATTGAGTAATCACAGATCAAAATTAGAAAAAGAAAATTGTATATTTTAAATATAGTTATCAGTTAATGAAATTAAATGAATACAATTATTATTTCCAACGGCCAACACATGAGTTAACATACAGAAATCAAAATAACCAATAACGATTAGTGATTACTGAGTAACTCAATTACAAAAAAAATTTAATGTATAAACTATAATTTTTAATAATATATTTTTAATCTGTATTTAACTATTTTAATTAACTATTCAATTTTAAACTAGTAAATATCTCAGTCCATGGTCCGTACTCCGTAATCTATTTATTATCCTGATAAATGATAAACATATTTTCATGGATTAGAATAAAACGCTAACCGACTGATAACAGATTTTATTACCGGCAGAATTCGGCGGTGAAGTGTCGGTTAACTTTAACCGGTACATTGTAAGAACGGCCCTAAACTGTTTTTAATAGAACAAGTTACTAATTGATTGCTATTTAAAATATATTATAAGAAAATTATAACTAAATTTAACTAATTTACATTGAAAATTGCAATTTTTAACAGTTTAAATTAATGTTTAGTTATGATAGTATTATATTTATTGGGTAATCCCATAGATATATCTATGGGTAATCCAAAGGTATATTATCTTTAATGGTTGTGGTCTATGGTAGTATCTTGGAATAATATTTCTTTGAAGGTTAATAAATGATTTATTGGTACTCCTGCTTATATTGCACCATGACAAATCAAATAGTTTTGTCAGCAACTCGTGATACGCATGTCTGTGACGTAAGCATTTCTCCGACTTGTTTAGCGGTGGAGTGGTGGTGGAGTCTTCGGCATCGGCGGCTATTGAGGCAGTGACGGCCGTGGACCAATGAGAACCGGAGAAATGCTTACGTCACGGTACTATGCTGGGCGGAGGGTGGGTGCGCGATTTGTTTCTAAACTGGTAATATTGCCGACATACCTATTTAATTTGTCATGATATTGCACTATCATTGTCAAACAAAAATTAATTATCCACAAGCGGCACAAGCTCTATAGAATTATCATTATTCATTATTTGGATTTTGGATTTCCTGACTTTCTGTCATTCTGTTTATGTTTGCGAATTGCGAATTGCGAACCCGGAACCCTTGAAAATCTTGTACCTTGATACTTGTATAGTGTCTCTTGTTCTTCAACATAATTTAAGTTTTGAGTTATTTCAACATGATAAAGGCCGAAGGTAAGTTAGACTTTTATATTTTGATGCCATTATTATTCACTTGTCGATTTTATTCTTAAGTTCAAACGTTACCTATATATTAATTTTTACTGTGTTTAAACATTAGATCATCAGAAGATGTTTAATATAGGTTGTTGGAACTTTGTAACTTTACTGTTCCAAGTAAGAAGGGAACGGTCGTTGTCAAAAACTAGTGAACGTTTGCGCAACTGACTGACAATATTGGTTGATTATTACCCTATAATGTTGTGCATGACAGTCGGCAGTGACTAATCATGCACATGAGATCAACTCTGGAACAGAGCTTAGTGTGTTGGTTTGAAAGTGTTCCTTTCTTATTTGAAACAGAGTTTAGAACTGAAGTAAATGTTAATGTTTTTTCTTGTGGTTTGAAATGATTATTTCAATAGATAACTTTGTATAAAGCATTAAAGCAACATCTCTTATTCATTACTACTGATCTACCTATTTTTAAAACTTTTTACTAGGTATAGTAATAAAATTATATCAACACATTATGTTAATGTAGAATTTAGATGTCTCAATCATTTTAAATTTAAGAATATGTGCCATTTATGGCTGAATACTTAATTAGGTACTTTTCAGGTTATTGTGACCATTGTGACTACCAATTACCAACCATTATAATAACATAATATAGACTCGACGGAATCACTCGTTTACTGTGCTTGCACGAACAAATTAAATCAAAAACATCCCTTGGTTTTCCATCGTGCAAGATCATCTTGGATAGGTCTCAGAGTAACCTAACCTTACCTCAAGACCCCCCCCCCCAAACCCCAAGGTGGCTTTACCTATCAAGTCAAGGATGTTTTCTATTTAAATTGTACGATTAATCACATTGAGTGAATGACCAACATATATATATATGTGTATCTATATGTACTATTTTTTTTTACTCCCAAGATGGTGATTTTACATAGAAAATTAAGGGAAGTTTTTGATTTTAATTGTCTATGCTAGCAATTGACTCTACCAAAGCTGGTCCTACTGTAGTTGGTAATCACGATAACTGAAAAGTACCCTTAATTAAAATGGGTAGTCTGAAAAGTATATAGGTAGTTCACAATTGTCAATTTCTTTCCCTATACATACAACTTTAAATAATTTAAAATTTAATATTTTTATTAGTTTTGTGAATTGTATTTAATCAAATTTTGAAATAGGTAAAATGGAAATTGACGACGAAGATGTTGAAGCTCCATCTTCAAGCACCAGTAGTCGTGGAGAAAAGAAACGATTTGAAGTAAAGAAATGGAATGCTGTTGCTTTATGGGCTTGGGACATTGTTGTGGACAATTGTGCCATTTGTCGTAATCACATCATGGACTTATGCATTGAATGTCAAGCCAATCAAGCTTCTGCGACTAGTGAAGAATGTACAGTTGCTTGGGGCGTGTGTAATCATGCTTTTCACTTTCACTGCATATCTCGTTGGTTGAAAACTCGCCAAGTATGTCCTCTAGATAATAGAGAGTGGGAATTCCAGAAGTACGGTCATTAATAGAAATACATTTTATGTTTTAACCTACATTTTTTCATTCCTTGTTTGGAAAATAAGAAGTATTTAAAGTATTATTAAAATGTCCATAATATTGATATTAAAAAAAAAAAATTATATTCTCAATCAAAACTACTCTCCTCAATTTCATTTTTCCTTTTTTTTTCATCTCGAACTATTTTATAAGAGATTATCTTGTAAAATGTTAAATTAATTATTACAGTATACAATAAAAGCGCCTGTCTACTATGAAAATAACTGATAAATACTGTTTTGTTTATTTGATAATTTCTCATTGCTCAAATGACTAATGAGTTATTTATTATATAGTATTAAGGTTAAATTACTATAGTGTTTAAACAATATAGTATTATGATTTATGATTTGACACATACGTCATACTTGTATACTAAGTCATATAAATCACATCTGCCTATTTAAACAGCATAACTAAACATGTTCTGAATTAGATATAATCGAACATTTAGTGAAGATTTTGAATTTAATTGTGGTTAGAAATTTTCAGTTGTATGATGTAGTAAACATTTATTGAATCAGTTATTGTGTTAACGTTGTATAAAACTATAAAATGTATAATGTACCACGGACTATTGGACTAAAATATCTTAGTCTGTGCTAGGTACCTACCAATAAAGTATAATTGGTACCTATTTGTAAATGTGAATATTTAAATATTATGTATTTATTTATTTTAATGTGTGCATACATTTATACATGTATTTACAATTTATATTATATAATATAATAAGTTGTTCTGTGATGTTACACAGTAATACAGAGCACAATAGTTGTACACTTGCAGTGTCGGCCTGGCACTCAAAAGGCCCACCGATCAGTTTTTTCAAGTGGCCTCTTCATGAAATATAAAATTTACTTGACATTTTGGGGGAAAAAATGCCCATTACCTTTTTTCCTTTAAAAATACATTTATTCAAATTCTGATTTGTAGAATTTTTAAGTGGGTATACCTAAAGACATTATATTCAGATTCCTGATATTTTTGTACTAATATTAGAGTGTCCTGTGTCTATACAAACTTCTATTTTTCAAATGAGAATCTCCTTTTTTACTGCAAATTATTTAAGCAGATAATGTTCTTGTAAATGTAGATGTATCTGAATGTACATTAATTTTTGTACTTTGTTAGAAGTAAAAAAAGAGGATTCTTATTTTAAAAACAGAAGTTTGTATTGTAACATCATTCTTAAATGGTATAAAAAATCTCAAGTAAAAAAATAGAGCGAGCATAGGTACTTAAAAAATCACTATGTCTAATATTAAAGCAAAGCCTAACGAGGGGAATCATTTGTTAAGTAATAAGCTATGCAATTATTGAAATATTTTAAACTGCAAAATAATAAATAATAACTATTAATTACATAGAAACGAAATTACGAAAACCAAAATTATATTTATATTGCCTATAGAATTTTAACTTTGAAGACAAATCCATAAGCTATAGACCTATGGCCTATGCGGCTATGCATAATATTATTCACGTAAATTTTCAAAAGTAAATGTAAAATCTTTATCGTTGTTTAATATTTAATTATATATACGTCATATAGGTATAAGGAGATTTATAGTACTATAAATCATACATATTTTTGTATGCAACATATTCATGATCGATGAATCCAACAGCGGAGCCGCTGCAGGGTGGGTGAGTGGGGCCCTCGTGGCCTCGTCTGAGCCCATTGTTTTTAAGGAGATATATAAAACCTAACTTAACTTGCAGTACCTTAATTAATCCAAAAAAACCTTCTCCTATTTATTACTTGAAACTTGTACTATTATAAATTATAGTGCTCTGCTCACACTATAATAGTAGGTAAGCATCATCTGGGCCGTGTTAAGGGGCCTGGTCGCGATTTTTCATATTTTCCGCAATTCTATAAAATTTGAAAATTAAATTTTATATTTTAGTTGCCACCTCAATTATAAGACTTTTCCACTAATCTACTACCCAATACCTATTTAGGGGGGGGGGGTTGATAGGGTGTATTATATCGGTCAAAACACAGTTTACAGGAAAAACTCTCACACCTCGTAGATTGGTCCGATTTCCGTAATTTTTTTTTTGTTAGATAGATGAATATTTTTTACAGGGCGCATTGGACTTTGATTTTTGATTACGTTGCTAAAAATAAATAATAATACAAAAACTAAAAAGTTATAACAATGGATTAAATTCAAACTTGTAATATAAGATTTCGAAAAATAATTTTGAAAATCCAAGTCCAATGCGCCCTGCAATACGTCTTCCTCTATTTAACAAAAAAAAATTACGGAAATCGGACCAATCTACAAGGCGTGAGAGTTTTTCCTGTAAGGCATGTTTTTGAGCAAAAAAAACAGGTCGCGACCAGGCCCCTTAAGAAAAATTGGGTACTGTTAAATATATCGATAAATACTTTACGGGGCGCTTGCTCCCTATATAGACCAGGCACACGCCAAACAAATAAAAAAAAAACTGCTAAGTGGATTTCGCTCTGCTGTACAGTAGATTTCAAGTGGGTCAATGAATAATTGATTGTATTAAACTTGTAAGAGACCCTAAAAAAATCGGAGGGGCCCCGGCTGCGTTCGAGGCCCAGCGGCCATGGCCAAGCCGACACTGTACACTTGTACTGACTACTGAGAGGTGTTTATGATAACAACATACACCAAACATTTTTTTATTTTGGCGGAAGATAAATTTATTAATTCCTCCCCCCACACCCACAAATATGGCCAAATTACTCCACTGGAGTTTTCTTAACCCTTCAGTAGGTCGCGCGGTTTAATTTATTACCCCACTAATTTTAAACTATGTTTTAATATTATTTAGGTTGATATAAATGTGGTGGGATCTTATCTAGCTTCTATTTATATGTTATATATTGTAAAAATAATGTTAATACATTTTTAATTAGTTTAAAATAATATATCATTTATTTGACCGTCTAATTAGTAAAAAAAATTAAAAAAATGCTAAATTAAAAGTATTAATAATTACATTTAGTATTCTATTTTTGTTATATACTTATGAAAATATTAAATTAAAAAAAAAAAATTTGAAAAAAAAAATATTATGTTTAAATTAGTTTAATCGTAGGAAATTTTTACCCCGCGTGACGGAATAGGTAGGTACTCATAACCCGCCCAACCTACTGTCTACTGAAGGTTTATAATTGGTGGAAAAAGAATAGGGTTAAATGGGAAGAATTTTGGCAAAACCCGTTTTTTACAAAATCAATCTTCTTATTTGGTTATAACTTATAATTTAAAAATATTTACTATACTTGATATAATGTTCAAACATTTTCTATTTGATTTATAGGCACTTGAAATTTTGAATTTTTTTTTCTAATAAGTAATATATCAATAAAAACCCAAAGGTTATAACAACAATAAATTATATAAATATATTATTATAATAATAATAATATGGTAAATGTAATGTTTTCAGCAAAAATAACGTAGGTATTTGTATATTTTATTTTGAATGCATTGATTTATTCTATTTCTATGTATCTGTGGACAAATCTTGGGCGCATTCGTCTCGTAGATGGCGATCGGCTATGGCCGATCCTATAACTTATAAGACCACGACTGGGCACAATGTAGGAAGGTATTAGCTTTTATATTGTGGTAAATTATATATAATAATTTATTTATTCGACGGTGCGGAGAGAAACTGCTGTCCGATAAAGCAGGGGCGTCATTTCAGTTTTTTTCCGGGTGTGCAAGATTTTAGGCAGGCCAATTTTAACATTTAACCAGGCCAACTTTAACATTAATATCTAAACAATAACCATGCTGTTTAAAGTATTTAGTATTTATTTTATCAGCTATGCTATGCTTACTCCACTTTAGTTGATACCAGCAGGCTGGCACGAACAGTCTTACATAATAAAACCACAGGATAAGACTCGCTTCACACGGTTGTCAAATAGGGATACATTTGATAATAAAGCTGATAAAAAAAAAAATTTAATTACATGCATGAATCAGTGGCGCCAAAATAGATATTATAGGTACTTTGCGTAATGGTAATGGTAATTATAATAAATAGTTTGGGTGTCAAAAGTTATGTGGAGGTGTCTAATGCCATAGTTAAAATGTTGGACTTCAGCGCTACTGGGCCAAGAATATTGTTATTATTTTTAATAGTAATCATATCGGCGAAAGAGGAGCATATAATGGAGGGCCAATTATTTATTCTATTATGTCAGTGGTGCCGTCGCACAACCTGCCATACACTCAAATGACGCCCCTGCGATAAAAGGGTTGATGCAGGTGTATTTATTGATGCCCTAAGCATGATCTCCCCCTTTTTCTTCAATAAGCAGTATTGAAAATCTAATTTTTCAAATTTAGATGCTGAGTGACTAAACGATGAATGTAATTGAGTTTACAATGATGTGTTTTTTTATTTTTTGTTTGTGTGTCATCACGTTTTAGACATAAAAGTGCTTGGAATTCTCTTTAACAGTAGCTTTTCTGATAGGAAACTGAATCTAGTTGGTACTAGAGTTGGTCAAAAGTAAAAATTTCCTAGTAGTTTTCACAAGCGCCGGGAAAAACAACATAAAAATTAAGGAAAAACGGGAATTCTTACATTTTTTTTAGGTTTTCCAAAAAATCGATTTTGGTTTTTGGTGTAACTTTAAAACAAATGACCGTAGATACATGAAATTTTCACTGGTTGTTTATATTTGCATTTTCTATACACGATAACATTTTCAAAATATTTTGATTTATTTTGAACTGTTTAGGGACATTTTCATTTTTCATTTTTTTTTAGTTTTTTTTCTAGAAATATCAATAAAATTTTATTTGTTGGTTAAAAAATTTGAAAATTTAATAGAAGGCTCTTAGTATATTGTTTTAAAGGCAGATGAAAAATATTAAAAATCGTTAGTCACAGTTTTTTTTTATAAGCATTTAAAGTTCAAAAATTGACAAAATATGGAAAAATCACGAAAATTAGCAAATTATTTTGAGTTAAGAATTCGTAAAAATTTTTCTTTTCAAATCTAAGATTTGAAAATGTAATACAAGATTACTCATAAGTTTGTCTACCTTTATCAATAAAAAAATCTCTACGGGACAGTCAAATTAAATTTTTATGAGCGTTTGAAATTCAAATTTATACAACATTGTATGTTCACTCGATTTCTCATGTAGCGATTTCCTTATTTTGTTGTTATTCATAAACGAATGACTATAGATACATGAAAATTTCACTGAATGTTTATATTAGCATTTCCTATACACCATACAATTTTGAAAATATTTTGACTCTTTTTGAGCTGTTTACGGATATTTTCATTTTTCAATTGTTTTAGTTTTTTTTTCTATGAATATCAATAAAGTTTTATCTGTTGGGCCAAAAAGTGTAAACATTTAATACAAGGCTCCTGATATATTGTTACAATATCAGTTGAAAAATATTAAAAATACATAGGCACAATTTTTTTTTATAAGCATTTAAACATCGAATTTTGACAGAATTTTTCAAAATCTCGAAAATTATTAATCATCGTAATTAATAAATTATAAAATGTTCAGTTTTTATAGGTAAGGATTGAAAATTTAAAACAAGATTCTACGTAAGTAGTTAATTCTCTTACCGAAAAATCTAAAAAATATACAATCACAGTTTATTTTTATAGTCATTTTATGTTCAAATTTGGACGAAATTACATATTAAAAAACCTAGTTATTTTGTTGTAACTAATATTATTCGTGGGTACCTACTTGAAACTTCTAAAGTGTACTATTATATATCTATGATAGTATCAGGGTTTGTTATTGATGTTGATGTATAACGTGTTATAAGTACCTAATGGTATTGTGATAATGTGATATGATTAATTTGGAATTTCTTATAGGTCAATTTTTTTTTAATACCATAGATATGTATATAATTTGTCTTAAACCTAGACTGACATACCGTCTTCGCTCAGAATCGTTTTTCTTATACAATGATATTGTATCATTGAATTCAAATTTAATAGCATCCATTAAACAGTGACCCACTTGTAACCTACTGTACAGCAGAGCGACATCCACTTACCCACCTTTTTAAATATACTTTTAGACCATATTAAAAATTCTTGAGATTTTTGTACCACTTAAAAAGTGTCCTGGGGGGGGGGGGGGGTACAAACTTCTGTTTTTCAAATGAGAACAACACATTCATCTATAGGTTATACAGTTTAGGTAGATAATTTTTTTGAAATTTTTGACGTATCAAAATCAAAATTTAATAACTATAAAGGTATGAGTAGTTTTTGGGTTATTTCATTATTTGTGTTACTTTGTGTTCTAAGAATAAAAGCCAAAAGGTCCATGGTAATGGGGGATATAGACATAATATAGTGATTTGAAAACATGACAAACCCAGTGTATCAGTTTTAGTTTAATCAAAAAAATTAGTAGCATTTTGTAAAAATGGCTTAAGTATAATAAATACTAGATCCAATTTTACGTTTATTTAATATTTATGTAAGAGCATCTTATCCTTAATGCAAACATTTTAACAACTAAGAAATTCCTAATTCGAATTTTGAATTAGGTACATCAACATTTTCAAAAAAAATTATCCACTAAATAATTAAGAATAAAAAAGGGGGTTCTCATTTGAAACACGAGTTTATTTAGTTGTATCTCTACAGAATACAGGATACTCGTTAAGTAGTACAACAAAAAATCATTAATTCGAAAATATGGTCTTTGAGTATATTTAAAAATTCCAAATATCAAAATTTGAATCAATTCATTGTTAAAGGAAAAAAACGGGGGGTGATAACTGATCACTCTCGGTGAACCAATTCTATATAGTTATAATATGTATTTAAATACACATTGGTTTAATGGCTACTGGTTTCCGGTATGATAAAAATTGATAATTATAAAAAAATAATATGTGTCTTCACCACAGATATGACGTATAATAAACATTATATTTATTATACATATCTGTGGTCTTCACACGACTCCCCCTACTCGTGCATAGATTGGCCATAGACACCGAACCGCGGTCATAGAGCGATAATCGTTTTACCGTGATACCGCGACTTGCCAGAATTATTATCATCTCTGGCAGCCCTGGCATAAATATGAAATATTAATTAATATTTAGTCCGGCAGTCGGCACCCGTGGCCGTATCGGCATTCGGCCGCATCCGGCTGTTCGGGTGTCGGAACTCCGTAGTCGGTATCACGATAGTATATTATACGATCGTGGTCGGTATTCACTATTCAGTATTCGCTGTTCGTTCAGTTATCAATAACGAGCCGAACACGGCGGTTTTGTGTTCCGAGTTCCTGCGCCAAGATACTGATAGTGGAAGGTGTTGTGACTAATATTCTGCTCATCTGCCGGGTTTTTGAAAGCGCATAACTAAAATACCGGTTCACACAGACCTTTTTATATACTATAGATAAATAACACGCACACGGTGTGCACTCCGGTACTGCTTCCTCCCTCGCAGTTTGAATTTTTCCATTTTTATTTTCAACAAAATTCGTCAATTTGCGAGATTATGGGTCTGTTAACCGAAGGGCAACCACTCTCCTGGGATGAGACGAAACAGTTAGCTGATCACGTCAGACAGCACGGTATCGATCAGTTTCTGAACTTGTACCATCAATTGTTGGACCGCAAAGGTGATGTCCTGAAATGGGGTGACGAGGTAATTATTAACAGTGATGGTGGTTTAAATTCGTGGAGTCTACCTACTCGTTTTAACATCACAACTGGGTCTCATGTCGTCGTTCATCCTTTCTAGGTCGAATACATAATTGTCAAATTTGACCACATCAACAAAACAGCTAAAGTCCGACTGTGCGCACAAGATATTTTAGCTCAACTCAATGAAAAAGAAGCAAACGACCCACAGTAAGTTAAATTATTAAACAAATTGAAGAATTACGATAAGAAAATTATAAAAATTAGTTGTAGTATTGAATTAGGGTTTGTTATTAAAATAAAACATTTTAAAGCTTAAACAAATTATTTACTTGAAAATTTAAATAATTTTAAATTCTGGAATTGCTCAATAAAATATCTAATTTTATACTTAACTACTTAAGAACAAAGAATAAATTACTACATTTATTTTAAATAACTTTATAATTTATAATAATTAATTTGATTGTAGATAGTACCCGCTTAGATAAAATAAAACAAAATAATGTATAACGCATATAATTATGTATACTTACTATAGTTATCAATTCATACCCTGGGGCCTGGGGAAAATAAATATAAGGAAAATTAACTTATATGATTAATAATTGTGAAGTTGTTGAAATGTTGTATACTTTAGTAGTTAGCCTTGTTCAGTTTGTTTTGTAAGAAACTATAAAAACTGTATCTACATTTTTTTAAATATTTGCTTTATTCGTCTATATACCCATCTATTATTTGAGTAGAATTAATTTGTTTTCCAATTGGTTTAAACTATCAAAACCGATAATATTTGTTTATATCTTATTTTAATTCAGATCATTTAGAACAGCTATATAAGTTAAATATTTAGTTCTATTGTCAATTATTATTATTTAATAGGTGTAAAATAACTTTTTCTTGCTAAACTTGAGTATTAGTGTTAAGTTAAATAATTTAAAAAGTGAATATTTGTAGGCAGGTATTATTTAAGATACATATTCTTAACTAAAGAGTAAATACTTAGGCCTTAACCAATATTAAGCGTCATGTTCACAAGTTTAGATAATTATAAATTATAGTATTTACAAAACTACTTAATATTGTGTTTGTATTGATATAGTAGATACATTGTATAAATAATGATTATTTTATGGTAGATATCTAATATTTTAACAAAAATATCTGTTTTTCACAACTGAAAGTTGTATTACTATAAAATATTTTTTGCAACATAAAAATTATCCTTTGTAAAAAAATAGCTATTTTTAATAAAAAAAACAAAAAAATAAATTATTAACAAAAAAATAAGATATTGCAGGTTTCTCAACTTATAAAATAAGTAATTAATTTGTTAATATGGTTATCTTGAAAGCTAACAAGTGAATAATTACACGGAAGTTAAAATTAGTTATATCAATAATATTTTTAAAATAGGTACTATTATATCACTTGTGTACATATAGCTAGGTATATGTTATTAACTATCAATATTTTATATTATTATTAATTAAGTCAACTAATTTTCTGTTAATTTGTTTAATATTAAAAAATATCTATATCTACTTAAGTATGAAGTATGAGTATAATGTGTATGTTTTTAATTTTATAATTATTTAAAATTTTAAATAAGAAAGGCACTATCATTGATTTTATGATTTTAGTGTTTAATAGAACTAATGGTGTTATATGGATATTGCTGTGGTGATATAATTTAGATATCGATAAATAATAATAATTTGTTCAAAAATAATTTTTCTGATAACATGCTCTCCAATCTCCATCAAAGTTCACTTGTAAAATGTGTTTTTTTAAAGACTAATCTCTGTTATGCATTTGTTTTTGCAAATATTTCCATGCATACAATGTACGATCCAGTTAAAAAAAGATTTTGGAAAAGCACACAAAACAAAATCACTTTAAGATAAAATTACATACCAAATATTTCTAAAAATTTAATAGGTATGTCAAATAATTATTGATATTAGTGATATATATTATGTTTACTTGATTATAGATGAAACAACCAATCAACCAAATAATAGCTTATTTATAATATTATGGTGTTATTTTAAAATCTAAATACCATATTGTTGTTCGGTTTTTGCTATTGCAAATGTATTAATTGGTGAACTACATTGAAACAAAGGAAAATGTTTAGTTTTATGTAAAGGATTAGTGGGTACCTATTAGTTACCACCTACAAATTATTAAAATTCTTTAAAAATATTTATAAAAATAGTGTAGTTTTTTAAAAATTATTTTAAATATGCACTGATAACAAGTATAGGCGTTTAACATACTTTTACATTATAAAACGTATTTAATGTAACCGTAAGACCAAAATTAAGAAATTTATATTATTATAAATTTTAATTCAGAAAAATTGTAAATTCTAATAAATTGGTAATCTAAAAGAATTTCTTAGTTATTTTATAATTCTTTAATTTGTAAATGATTATAATCTTATAGAAATCATTTAATCTTATCATCTCTGTAAGTAATTATACATTTTAACATATTTAGTACCTACACAGACAAGCAGTTTATGATTAGGTTAGATATATTTAGGTATGACGAGTACCTATATGGCTATATAGGCCTTATACTTGATGCATTATAATTGTTATATTTTATTAAATATTTATAAATGTGCTTACTTAGTATTACTATAGTTAAGTATATTTACTTTTTAATGATAAGGTTAGATATATTGAAGTATGACGAGTACAAGTGCCTATTCACGCTATACAATTTATTTTTTTGTATAAGTATTATATTGAACTAGACCATCCATGTTGGGTAATATATAACTTTAATGTTATAATATGTTGTAATGTTGTATATTATTATATCTAGTCCTAGTTTAACTATTTAAATATAACTAAATTATTTTATTTCAAAGAGTAAAATTATTTGAATTACCTATTTAAAAATGTATACTTCATAGAATACATGTTGGTTAGGTTTTCTAGGGATCAAATTTTAATTTTCCATTTCCAATGAATTTTCATTGTTTTTGGATGATTGTCAAAATATGTATATTGAATAATAATTATATTTTAATTTAATAATTTGTGTATTCTAGAATCTGAAATGTTTTATTTCATTTTGATGTTGGTAAACCCTACCTATTTGAAATGTATTCCATTTGACTGAATTGAATAGTAACTTCTTCATACATAGATTAAGCTATTTATATATTAGACTACTTTTCAGGCATTAAGCATTTTGTATTAAAATTATTAAGATTTTATGTTTTGTATGAATTTTAAGTTGGTGGTACAATTTAATATTCCCTGTTTCCAGTCTTTGCATTCCTCTTTAAGAGCGAGTTTTAAATTGTTTGTACCTACCTAAAAAAATACCTGTCAAAAATCAAGGAGAGACACTAAAATAACATTTTCGGAAGATTTCTCCTTCGCCCACGTGCTATTTCACGCTCCATCTTTAAATGATAATGAGTAATGTTCATTGATAGGTGATCGGTAGGTATGTAACGAACATCCCTTTAATCTCACAATTAGTTATTACGCAACCACTGAACAGTCAGTTATTATTATATTATAATTCGGAAGTCGTATTAAAGCTATAATGCACTCGTACTTTGTATTTATGTTTTATCTTTGTGCTGTAGGTAGGTTTATTGAGCCTTTTTGTTATTGCATCAAATTAGCATCGTAGCATGGCGGGCAGTTAAATGTGCGGGAAATGCTGCACAATGTACTGCTAGATTGTACTTAATTTAATCTAATCTAGATTTTTTTAATTAAACAAATTAAAAAACGCAGACTCGTCTAACCTTATATCTATCAAATAATTGATCTATATCACGAATTATTACATCTACATTAAACTTACAGATTTACTTTCCGTAGTCTGTAATGACTAATGACTAATGGCTTGCAATTTGTTGTGAATGAAATAAAATATTCAGGGAAATAATCACGTTTAGGTGTCCCAACTTACTGTAGTACCTGTGCTATGTATATTTATAGAAAATTATTCCACATTACTGATACCTAACTGAGAAGTATGATTAATAAAATAGTAACAATCGATCTTAAATTTCAATAATGATTTATGATTATTATTACATACCTAATTTAATTTTCATACAAAAATCACTTTTTCAAATTATCTTGGTGTCACCCATGGGCCATGACAAATTAGATTGAAACTTATTTGTCATGGTATCACCATACTGCACCTCAATATTCTACTTGTTGATTTAAAATTTAAATATATTATGTAATAAATAATTAATAAACCACGTGATGGGCGATGACATTAAGAATAGCTATTCCTACGACCTATACGTGAATAAATGTATTTTTAAGGCACCTAACTAAAATGTATATACGCTTGAATATACTTCATGTACTTATTGCAGGTTATGTACATATGGAGTACAAATAGTACAATAGGTACTAAAATGTTCAAAACCTGAAACTAAACAAATTCACTACCGAAAAGCGAATATCATATTATTAAGTACTTATTGAAATTTAAAAGTAATTTCTCTTTCATTGTTTTGCATAGTTTTAACGAGATTCTACTTTCTCAGTTTTACGACAGTACCTGTAAAGTAGTAAATTGCAATGCATAAAAAAAATTCATTATTTTGTCATATAATATTTAAATATAAAACTCCCTATAAAAATTAGTAACAACGAAAACTATTTAATATTTGTGCATTTGGTTTAAAAAGTGTAGTATTAATATTAATATGTTTTGTACCTATAATACTATTATGTAATTAATTTTTAATTTTTACGGTTTTTTTAAGCATGTTCTGCATTATAATATGTGAACTTTATTTTTATTGTTATTATCATTAAATTATAATGGATTTTAATTTTTAACTTAAATAAAAATAAAAATATGTATACGGTAGAATTTTCTGATTAGGTACTATATTGATTACACGAGATTCGTTTTGATTAGACAATAATAATTTTACGATTTTTTTATCAACAGTTTGTCGAGTTATGAATTATATTTTCATTCATAACAATAGAATTGTTCAATGTATTAAAAAATAAATTACATTTTGTTGTGTAATTGATTTATTATAATTTTATTAGCTGATATAACTTTTATGCTTTTCTTAGACAGAGGTTTCAATTGTATTTTTTTTAAATTTAAAATTAGGTTTATTCTATAAATAATAAATATAGTATTGATGTAGAATATGATATTGAAATCATTAGTACCTATTTAATCTCAACGTGATAAATAATAATATCTTTGAATTTTTTTTAAATTGTTTATAATTTTTATTTGACAGTTTGAATATATTTCGAAGAGTTCACAAAAACAACTAGTCAAACTTGGGTTGTTACGCACAAATGAGTAATTGTGTAATAAAAATCCCATTTGAAATTATAATAATGCTTACGCATTCAAAGATAAAAATTTTAAAGGACTACTTCAAAATGGTTGTATACTAATTATAAGTATTTGAATATTTATCTATTTCTATAACATCATTCAAATTGAAATACAGAATATAACGTACGATTCGTTGTAAATTGACCGATGAATTAGTCGAGGTAAAACCTAAATGACTAGATCCTAGATGATATAAATATATAAATGGTCTTGAAATCTTAAGTTGTTCACGAAATATATTTATATGCACGTGGATTTGTACATTATGTAAAGGTAACTCGTTTTCCTATAATAATAATAATATTTTTTTTGATTTTTAGATTTTTAGGCTTAAATAAAATGATAAAATATATTTAATTAAAATAAGTAACGTTTGATGAAAATTAAATAATATAATAATATATTTACGAAACTTATTATTATTTATGTATAATGTCAAACATAAAAAACATTGATAACGTAGTAAATAAATATTATATCATACGTACTACCTGTAGTAAAACCATGCAACGCATAAAAACGCGATAATATACCAAGTCAATTGTATAATTTTTTATTTAATTTTATGAATTTTGATTGTTTAAGTTTGAATGGAAATGATTACCTACTATATTGGCGCCACCCACATTTAACAAGATATTAAGTATATATATTATGCAATATTATCTACAGTTTTAAAAATGACGCAATTGTGTGAAAATGATCTCACCCGAGTTGCCATTATTCATTGGTTATTTTAATTATTTCAATGTAAATATATTTATAACGTCGTAAAACATATACAATTAAGAATATTACCTATGTATATTATAAATAGTAGTTAAGTAGTACACAACCTACTGGTACAGTGATAACTAGGGTTTAAATGTTTATGACCTTAAAAACTGTAAAAATGCATGTAAATATGCCAAAAAAATATTAAAGTATGTCCTTATATAACAAACAAATATGACATGATAAAATGCGTTACTAAATTGTATTCATTATTCATTCAATTTTTATTACCTACACATTTTTAACAGATTATTCATTGATCACGTTTCGCGCGATTGTGGTACTAATAATAGTATACTTGCCTATATAGCTATATAGGTGCACCTGTTCATGATAAACCTAATAATATATTTTTAAAGATGTTCTTTGAAATCTAATGTTTAAAAAAAAAAAACTATCCACAATGTAAACAATTTACAAAAATGACCTATATAACAAATTAAATACATTTCAAAAACCAGAAAAATGCATTTATAGTTAAAAAAATGCTCGAAAATATGCAAAATAAAATTCTAGGTAGGTATTAAGGTATGACGTACTACGTAGGTATCTGTATTTATGTCATATAAAATGGATTTATAATTTGTTCTCCAATGTGCACTACTTAGAAAAAATATGAAAAAGTCATAAACATATCCTAACCCTAACGATAATTCTATTGTGCACCCCGCGTACCTATACCATATTATTTCCAATGTCCATATATTTCAAATCATATAATAAATAAGTTACAACACAAAGTAAATAAAATAACTTCAGTCCGTTTAGGCGGTGTAATAGAATTATAGAAATATAAGTTTCTTTTTTATAGTTATTTATTAGGACTGAATTTGTATTATCATGCTTTCATGTGTTTACACAATTCCTGAGGTGGACAGGTACCTACCATAAAATATTCAAATCGATATATTTGACCACCTATTGTTTTTATACCATTGGCACAAGGACATCTAGTTTTCAGTTATATAAATTATGATGTTAAAGATAACCTAATGCAAAGAATACAATATAATACCTGTATTGTATTTATAAATTATAAGTATTGGGTACTATATTATTATCATTGTCATCGACGCATTTCTAACTTATAAGCGTTATGTAATGTGATGTGAATTTAACGCCTCATACAGTCATACAATATTGTACGTGTACCTATGTAATACTGACAATACTGTTATTATGCAGGGCTTAAAACCGTTCTCAATAATTATATTCGTTATCGTTTAATTTTGATATTTTGGTAACCGGTAACCGTTTAAAAACCGTTGATAAGGTTTTTTGGTAATCGGTTACCGGTTAAAACTGGTTTTTAAAAATCATTTTTTTCAATATTTTAATCATATTTTTAAAACAGTTTATTTAGGCCATTCGTGGGTTGATAACATAATTATTATTATTACAAAATCAAAAACTTAATTTGCTTTAATTTGCCAATGCATAAAACTATAAAATATAAATTGTGACAGTATTAAAATATCGTAAATACTAAATAGACTAAGCACCTATTCCACCAACTATTTCGTAATAGGAATCAGCGCGCGAGGACGACGGTCGACGACTAGTTTACGACGGTATTTATAATATATAGTTATACACTTATACCTAGGTATATATATATATAATATATATATATGTGATATTCACAACAGATAAGCAATACTCGACGGAAATATTTGGGGAAACAAATTTTAAAATATCCGGCAAAATTAAATTCAACTATAATGTAATCATGACATAATTCATGTATTAAATTCCATGAAAAAACCGTTAATTTTTTGGTTGGGAATAGGTTTTGGTTATAAAACTGGGATTGAAAATACTAGTAACCCTTTTGATGTTAATAAGGTTTACCTTGATTACCGATAACCAATAACCGCTTCCAGCATTCCAAAACTAAAAGCGGTTATCGGTTTTCGGTTCTCAAATTTACGGTTTTTGTTACAAACCGGTTACCGGGTTTAAGCCCTTGTAATGATCAGCTCAACTATGAGTCTCTCACGTGATGCTGACCATTGCAATTAACATATTGTTATTATATAAATAACACCATAATGCTAATTTTGCACATCACATCATACCACCTTTGGATTTAAAAGGGAGGTCTGGTCTGTTAGTTAGGTAGTTCTACAACAGCTACAAGCTGAAGCTCATAAGTTAATGACTTTATAACAAGGATTAACGGTAGCACTCTTATAACCCTTTTATATGATTATACTTTGTTAAATAGTCTTATTAGTAGTTATTACTCATATTAAAAGTCTGTGTTTAAACACTGTGTAAATAAAACTATTATATACAATAATTATACTTGTGTTTAAGTTATTACTCGTAGTAATCAATTTGGTCACTACACCCTGCCACCCTGGTTATATGCCTAGTTTCCTCGTGAGCATGTGAGCACGTAGCTATATCACTCATTTTGATTATTATGTTTGTGTCCATATAATAGCAACGTCAAATCGCTGTGGAGGCCAGAATATGGAGCTTACATGATCGAGGGAACTCCTGGAAAACCGTATGGTGGACTCTTGGCGCATTTCAACATAGTCGAAGCGAATATGCGGTACCGCAGAGAGGAAGCACAACAATTACTCGGGCCGGATGAGGTGCTGATGACCATCACGAATTTTCCCAGGTATGTAAAACTTCAGTATATACAGAAGAATATTGTTATTTTTGCTTGTCCCCCCTCCCCCATCGACACGTTATCGATCCGAAACGGTCGCAGGAGTTTAAGATGATCAATGGTAGATTGCAGACGTATTATGGCGACTTCCTAATACTTATATATTCTACTTTTGTGAATCGATTATTTTATTATATCGTATGGGGTGGTGTCGTAATAGAGCTTCGAATGCAATATTCAGCGACAAGTGACAAAAGTGTTATTTATTTATAATTTCGATTTTTGAGGTATACGAGCTCATAGAGATTCAATATTATACTATCGTTCCACGATTATAAATTTTTCATAAGACGGCAGATCGAAACAATTGTTACCGCGCCTAACGACTTAGTTGATTAACATAATCTATACCTGTATTAGCAATCATGTATGTAATATACTTATCTCGTCGGAAGTATATTGAGTCGGCTTAAGTTTTCTATATTTTTCGGACAGGGAGGGATGTGAGCATGAGGATGAGGGACTCATTGAACGTTAGAAAGGCTATGCACTGGATTCGGTGTTTTGGGCTTGTAGTTTCAGATGGCCCAGGCACAGATATAACAAAATATGCACGCATATGGGACGCATTTGTGTGCAGGCTTGGATGTCCGGAGTTCACGTGGCCCGTGGATCAGCCGACACCCAAGATTGGCCCTTCGCGTTCGCTGTTCATACCGGACTCGGCGATTTACAAAGGGCATCCGAGGTTCTCTACTCTCACCAGGAACATACGGCAGCGGAGAGGGGAGCGAGTGGCCATAAACATACCGAGTAAATATGCCTAAATCATATATATAACATATACATTTCATAACATATCATGTTATTAATTATTTTTAAACGCATAAATATCGTAAGTTTCACTACAACACACACACACACACGCGCACACACACACACACACACACACAAATTGTGATGATCAGCGGTATAAGCAATGGTTAAACGTTCGTATTAACGGCTACTGTTGTAAAGTGGCTATATACGTTAGCGAAGAAATAGTTGTCTGAATCAACGGAAAGTGCTGCAGGGGCCGATGTATAATAGTGTTGTATATAGTACATATAAGTATGTAAACATACCTGAGTACCTGACTATTATATCGGTATATTATTTTATGATTATTGTTTGCTGTACTATGTCTGTGTCATCAGATTTGCGTTTTCGTCATATGAGTTGTTTTACGTGACCATGGTCGGGCGTGTACATTGTATAAGTACCTATACTGTATTTGAAAAGATACAAGTGTTTGTTTCAAATATATTGAATAAATATTATGAGTAATATTAATTTTGAAATGTAATATGGCATGGAAATGTAGCGTTTGATTTGTTTAATACTATAATTACCATTGCATTGATGCAAGATGCAAGTATGCAACATGTGTTCGACGAATGAAGTATTATAACCGAACGATAATATTAATATATTGTTTCCCGGAGTTGTCCCCCCTGCGGCCCTGCAGCAGTTTGTAAAAGCAGGCTGTATGTATAGTTTTATTAAGTGTTTTGACCTATCTATTCGTTTTTAAATATTAGCACTTGCTATCGTAGCATATAATAGCTATAAGTGAAACGAACATATGTTTTTTTTTAAATAATTTGTTATTATTATACGTAATCCAACGATAACTACTTCTTGTTCTGCTCCAGTTATTTTTTTTTTTTATTCAGAACTTCGATAGGTAGTGATTAAATGTTTTAATAGGTATGCGCAATATACATGTTTGAAAGACAATTTAGACAAAAATGGTTGTATATAGTATGCCCATGTATGTAACAAAAACACTTAATAGTTTATACTAATTCAATAAATCCATACATGATAGAGGTCACCACTACCATATATTATAGGTGTGAATGATTATGGTAATATATATATTCGTCAGTTTTTCAATACTTATAACACTGTTTTTCACGACCATCTAGACTCTAGAGGGGGGAAATCAATATCACATTGGGATATTCTAATGCAATTTTATGTTCAATTTGAATTACAATGCTGTATATATTATTATTTTATTGATGTATAAAACGTGTTCACTAAAAAATATTCACTAGCCTTAAAATTATTAATCTTAATCATATAATAATAATATGCTGCAGATATTTTCGAATATATTACTATGTTAAGGTTATTGTTGTAAGTATAGTTGACGGTTGGTACTTACGTTCAGGTTCTGCTTCTGTTGCGTAGTACATGCGACTTACCTACATATTGCACGACCGTTGGTTAGATTGAATTTTATATAGATCACATAATATTATAATAGATCAATATTGAAATATTGAAATTTTGTTTTAACTTATTTTTATTATTAGATACTTATTAGAGTTATCGTTTCTTTATTAAAATATTCGTATCTTATATGTATACAATATATCCATATATAGGTATAATTGGTATATATATCTACCTGCTATACATTTAAAATACTATTTATATTACTGTTTTTAAGAATATTTTGAAAGAACATAATTTATGTTCAAAATTAAAAACTATAAAATATAAATATTATACAATATTAATTTGCAGACATGTAAATATAATTATTACAAGCCATAAGGGATTTTGGCTTACTCCCAATGTTTTCGGTCTTACTGCAAAAAAAAAAAATAAATAAAAAAAACTAAAATAAATTATCATCATCCTTTTCCGGCCATCTAAATTGCATGCCTTCTTGACGTTTGGCTATGTTATGAATCATAACATATGATAATATTATATTATGTATATGTAATACGGAACGCAAATTAAATTAAATTTTAACGGAATGTTTCATAAAAAAAATAATCATTTATGCGGTGACAATATGTATTTACATAATATAGTGTTTATTTTTAATTTGTAGTATTCAAAGATGAAAACACTCCGAGTCCGTTCGAAGAAGATTTGATCAGCATCGGCGGGGATACAGACAGTCTGAATGCAGCACTGCCTGATCACGTTTACATGGATGCCATGGCATTCGGGATGGGTTGTTGCTGTTTACAGATGACGTTTCAGGTACGCAATAATAGTATAATGACGGTAGACCGTTTTAACGGAGTGCTGCACGAACAAAATAATGTCTTATTTTTTATTGTAAAATGTTACAGGCGTGTTGCATCAAAGAAGCCCGAACTCTTTACGATCAACTCACTCCGCTGTGTCCGATTCTGGTGAGCCAACAGTTAAACACTTAAATTCGCAAAAATCATTAAGTAATGATAATCACAGTTGTAAATATATTTATAGATAGGTATATAGTTGTTATGGTTATATCCATAATGTAATATTATTAATAACTGTACAAATGTTTGCGCTTCTCTATGTAAATCATTTTGTAATAGTGTACAACTAAGGAAGGTTTTACTAAAAACACACTTCTAAAAAATTCTGCCATCCCCTTAAACAGGCCCGTAACGTGGCGAAATGTTACATGTATAAAATAATATATAAGTAATTGTTTAAACTTCCGAAATGGTATTGCAATAAAAGTATAAAAATATGCGTACGCCGTTGGTGTTGTATAAACGTCTTGAAAACAATTGTCTAGAACTCAGTAGAAAATATTATAATATGAGTGAGTATTTATGTAGGTGACCTATATACGGTTGTCGGCTATACCTATATATCACATACACTATATACACCCTGTGAATGTTATTGCAACCATCTATTTTTTAATTTACGGAGCTGTTCTACATATACGAAATATACGTATACGAAATATATAAATATACGTATACGAAATAAATAATATATGCTTATATTACTTTTTCACCGTTTTCATTTTGTCGTCGTAGTTAGCATTGACGGCGGCATCGCCTGTATTTCGAGGGTACCTAACAGACGTGGACTGTCGCTGGGATGTGATATCTCGGTCCGTGGATTGCCGTACGCGACAAGAAAGAGGACTGGAGCCGTTGACCACGGATAAGTTCGTTATACCCAAATCGCGTTACGACTCTACCACATTGTACCTATCGAGCCAAGGCGAAAAGTGAGAACTTATTTGAATTTTTTTCTTGATCTCGGCAACATGGACCATTAGGTTTGTGTGTGGGGGTGACGGTTGGTATGTGGTAAAAACCTGTGTTTTTATGTGGGACAAGGATTTATACCAAAAAACCCGAGTGGTTTCCCATCCGGGAGCCTGCGACACCTGACTCAGCACACATTAGTGTGACTGTGGACAACCGCCAACCACCGCTCCACACTTGGCCCCTTATTTTAATTTATAAACGTTTATAGCCTTAAGGTATACTCGTGTACCGCCTTTTTATATCGAGTTTGTGTTATGACTTCGGTCAAAGGCTATCGCGTAACAATTTTTTTTTTTTTGCGGAATTCTTATTTGGGATCATAATGTTATACATGTATAATAAATGTACAATAAATGCATTTTTAATATTATTGATACTCGGATATTTGATTTATGTTCATATATAATGTGAAGTCTACAAATTTGTTTTTACAAGGGTTAAATTTGCGGGCGTAACACGATTGCGCACTTTTTACCTTTTTACCTGAAAAAAACACAACACGATTGCGCACTTTTTACCTTTTTACATTTGAGAAAACATAACACGATTGCGCACTTTTTACCATTTTATATTTGACTATTTTGTCACATGGAAGAAACTTCAAACCTAGTTATATTCACTTGCAAGACTAATCTTGAACTATTAAGTCAATCATCCCATATTTTTGCAGACCGAACATTTTCATATGCACCCAAATATTTTGAGCAATTGTATACAATACATATATTACAAAATGGTTATTATGTTCCTATAGTTTACTGTTTTTTAACTTTAAAATCAACTGAAACTTATGTACAAATGTGGCACGCAATTATTAATTTATGTTTGAAATTGGTTGACATAGATTTGAAAAGTTCATTAAATCATTCAAATTTTCATTTTGATTTTGAAAAAAGTGCTCACAATGCTATTAGATATTTTTTCCCAAACTGAAAAATTATGACCTACAGATTTCATTTAGTCCAATCTTGGTTCAGGAAAATTATTTATTTTTGACTAAACGTATTACGTTATTACTTATTATTAATATTGGGAAATTTGAATGATATTTTTTATTTCATTTATGAACTTATAATTTTTTTTTTGTTTCCTACTAGGTATACCTTATTAAATTATTATTATTTTTAATATCATTATGAGTAAATCTTATTTCTTTATTTTTATAGACGAATACCGAAGATTATTCCTTTTTTTAACGCGTAATAATTGTGATATATTATAATATTTTAATTATTTATTTTTGACTTTATGTATTATTTTATGTTTATTTTTGACTTTACGTTATTGTTAATGTTGGGAATTTTTTGAATTTTTATTGCGTATTATTTGTATATTATATTATACTAAGTTTTAATATAGTAAGTAAATCATTAAAGATATTATAGGACAATTATTGTTAATTTATTCCAAAAAAACAAAATATTTGTTTTGCACAATCTTTGTTGCATTTGCTCAAATATTAAAGGTAAAAAGTGCGCAATCGTGTTGCACCGTAAATTTGCACATATAAACGTAATGAAATATTTAAATTTTTGATAAAAAAAATACTTTTGGGTAATCTAATTTTTTTGCATTATCGTTGAAAACAACTTGATATTGCATGTGAAATTGTGCATCTATATCGTGTAACACCCGAACCGCTCTTTACTCCGACTCTTTAGCAAACGGGTGACCCGCAACTATCATTATGATATATTTGGGAAAATTATAACTAAACTGTCGATACTCGATGCAATACATTTTAATAACGAGCCGAATTCTGAATTTTTATAAACATTTTTACCGGACGAGTTTCTTTGATTTGTTGCGAAAGGTTTAACGACGTGCCGCTGGTATATGACGAAACGATCTACAACAAACTCAAGAATGCCGATATCGATCACCAGATGGCTCAGCATGTAGCGCACCTATTCATCCGGGATACAGTATCTCTGTTCAACGAGAAAGTGCACCAAGATGATACCGTCGAGATGGATCACTTCGAAGTATGTCTTTTTCACCATGTATATAACCTATACTCAGCGGTGATTCGCCGAGTGTTTTTTTTTTTTAAAAAGAGTATATTTTCTTGCGTACCTATACCAGTACTACATTCCTCGAAATTACATACAAATTCCAAAAATCGCAATTTAATTTGCTTACCTTAAGTTTTAAGGTTGAGTATAATATTACTGCAACGCGGAGAGCACGCTTGTGAATCACCTGTAACCAAGGGTTTATTTGAAGAGGCTGATGTTCACATTTTATATATGATGCATAGTTATTACCATTCAGTCTATACTCTGTAATAGAGTTACCTTCTAATATAATTATAGTTTCAATTTGTAAAAATTTTGTCCCACCCCTTCAGACATAATCATATACGCTATTCGATGGTATACCCACATTTTAATATAAATATATGATATATCATATTGATATTATATTATTTATAACATGATTGGAAACGAAATAATAACGAAATGCTCATTTTGATTTTTTATGATATACATAATAGAACATACAGTCGACCAACTGGCAGACCATGCGGTTTAAGCCTCCGCCGCCCAAGTCAACGATCGGTTGGCGCGTCGAATTCAGGCCTTGCGAAGTGCAACTGACCGATTTTGAAAACGCCGCGATCGTGTGCTTTGTTGTCCTACTCACCAGGGTCATTTTGTCGTATCAATTAAACTTCATCATTCCCATTAGCAAAGTACGTTTTGTCGGTCATTCCGTCGATGATGTAACATAAATGTTCGTATATTAATAGCATCGCTTGCAGGTGGACGAGAATATGTCTAAAGCTCAAAAGCGGTCGGCCGCCCTGACGGAAAAGTTCTGGTTTCGCAAGAACATCGCTGCGTCTACGTCCAAAACCGCGAACGTCAATGTAAATAGTTCCAACGACGATGCATCGTACACGAAAATGTCCATAAACGAAATCATCAACGGAAAAGTAAAATAATATAATATATCGGTCAATAAAAACACTTGGTTGTGGCTCGGGGTAGTCGCGGGACCATCTTCGTTTACCGCATTCGTGTGTGGTCTAAACTACTTGAAAAAAACGCATGGCCGACATTAAACTGCGAATAAGAATAATATCATTGTTTATTGCATAATTATTAATGCATGCTGTTCTCAATATCCCTTGACGAATCTAGACAATGTGTCATGTTGTAGGCTCGACGCGTTTCACGCATTGAACGAGCTAATATCGTATTATGTCCTACACATTGCAGCCGTTTCGACGCCGCGCACAATATCATATTATAAATTTATAAAATTATAATTATGCATTTATACCTACGTAACTTCCGAGCCCTAAATCGACGACACAACACTAATATTGGCCGCGTAGTCCCGCCAAAAACACAGCAGTTGCACTCGTAACCAATAAACCCAAACGTGTTTTCAGACGGGCGAATTCCCGGGCCTGATCCCGTTGATTCACAGTTACCTGTCCAGCATGGAAGTCGACACGGACACGCACTGCACCATCCAGCAGTATCTAAAGCTCATATCGCGTCGCGCGTCCGGCCAGATCGACACGACGGCCAGCTGGATACGTCGGTTCATCCAGGATCATCCGGCGTACAAGTATGAACGATAATATTATTATGTTATTATCACCTCGCGACCCACGACCATAATAGTTTTAGTCGGTCGTACGAATGAGATATACCATATGTGATTTTTGTCCGGCAGACGCGACTCCGTCGTCAGCGACGAGATCAATTACGACCTACTGATGACGGCCGACGGCATCCGGTCCGGTCGCATTTCCTGTCCACGACTTTTGGGAGACTGTCTGCTGGCCAACTCGAAAACGAAGGAAACAATACCGCCGGCCGTGCAGAAGGTATATTCTTGTACTCCGTAGACGACGAGCAGAATAATAATAACATTATTATATCGCCGTTGTCCCGTCTGTTCTTATATATTATTTTTTACGCACACCGTAATTATTATAATATTATTCAATAATAATAATATTGTCGAGCTTTGTTGAAGTACCATCGGTAACAATATGAATAACACTATATATTTTATTATAATAAGAATTTATTTAATACTATACATGTTTATACTTATATGTATGTATATAATATATATTTATAGTATGTATAATTGAGTAATAATAGTAACATAATATATACTATACGTGAGATGAATTAGGGCGTTTTGGGAATTATTAGGAAAAAAAACATTATACCTATATTATAAGGTACACACACACATATATATATATATTACTTTTTTTAAAACTGTTTATTATTTTAATATATTATTGTATACTTTTGAAAATAAAAAAGTTTATCGACAAGCTTAGTCGCTGTCATCATTAATGAAGTATTTTGTTTTTTTTACAAACCCACCAATTTCCTCTTCTGAGTCACTGTTTGTCAACGATGGCTTTCTTTTATGATTCTTATCAAAACCTTCTTCGTCGCTACCATCTAATTGAGATCTCGTAGTAAAATCTGTGACTTCTTCTAATAAGGTTGTTTTTGCTTTATTTTTTGTTGAAAAAACAGTTTTTTCCTCGTCACTGCTGTCTGCATCAATGTCTACTTCTACTATGGTTTTAGTAGAAACTACATTTTGTTCACTATTAACTTGTTCTGAAATATTTTGATTAGCTTTTCTATCTTCTTCATCACTGTCTTCAAATACGGTTTTCTTTTTTTTCTTTGAAACAATACTATTTTCCAAGTCATCATCATCACTGTCTTCTAATAATTTTCTCACCGAAAAATTATGCTCACTAACTCCACTGTCACAATCATCTGACGGTACTTTTAATGAAGTAACATCATCTTCAACATCACTATCCTCTAATAAAAATGTTTTTCTATTACGACCATTTTTTTTGTTGAATTCAATTTTATCTTTACTAAAGTCAGGAACATTGGATTTTTCTTTAATTTTTGAAGAGTTTGTTTTTAAAGATGTATTTACTGTTTTCCGATCATCATTTACACTGTTTTGAGCCAGAGATTGCCTTATCCTTTCAAACGTTGCTCCCACATCCTCATCACTACTGTCGTCAACTCTACTATTTGTATTAGTCAAGTCATCAGCCACGAAATTGCCTTCAATCACATTTGTGATAGTTGTGGATCGTTGGCGGATATCATTTGCTTGCCATCTACCCGGTATACGCCAATAGGTTTCCTTTTAAGTAAAAGTTTTTGTTAGTATTTGATCAAACATTAACTATTGGATTTATTGTATGTGTTACCTGAATACTCGACGGTTTATGTATGCCTAATGCTTGCATCATTTCTTGAAAATCAATATCATTAACAGCTGTCATGCATTCATCAGTCAATGGCAATAGGGGAATATCAGATTCATCTACATCTAAATCGTTTGCAGCCTCGTCTAAGCTCCCAATCAACCACAATAGAGCGGTTTTCATGTCTTTATCGATTACTTTTTTAATAGCATTCAATACATAAACAGAAGTTAAGCTATGGTAAATAGGTTCTGTATCATCATTATCTGAATTGAAATCATCATTACTTTCATCGCTCGAATTATTTTGGTTTTTCTTGGCTACAAACAACAAAAAAACAATAATTTATTATTTTAATTAAATTAATGAAAATAATTATCATTGAGTACATTTATTAGAATTCTTAGGTTTTTTTTTTCTTAGCTCGTCTCGATCTTTAATTAAACCCAATTCAAGCATCTTATCAATTATGTGATTTCTTGGGCGTTTCACATCTAATTTATTCATGATTAAATGTATTGGATTGCTTGCATCTTTAAATTCTTGGAATAATTGAGTCATTTGTACAATTTCAGCTTCAGAAAACTCTCTTATGATTTTTGATGCTTTCTGAAAATAAAAATTATAATAATAAAAGTACTTAGGAATTACATATCTAAAATATTTAAAAACATTCTTACCCTTATTGGAATGATTTCAAGTTGTTTGAGTTTTTTAAGAACACTAATTCTTGAACGGTCCTGTCTAATTAGGTTCTTGCATATCCAAGCCACTTCATCTACAAAAACAATAGAATCCATTAAATTGACATTACTGAAATCCTGTACCTACTAAATATGATTTACCTTCATCGGGCATATCTCTTGTATATTCTTCATGTAATCTATGTAGCTCATCTTCTTGTTCCTCGCTCCAATTTGTTTTAGGATTTTGATCTGCATCATATCCTTCTTCAATTTCAAACGCGGTTTTTAATTCTTTCCAGAACAATATTTCCATAAAAACTTTTTTATTTTTTTTCGCTACTTCCGTAAATTTTCTCATAATAAATGTAGCAAAATGTTTTAATTCCTAAAAAGGATTGTTTATACCTTAAATACAAAGTTTATTTTAAAATTAAAATATTTAATAATAATTACTTTGTGACTAGGATTTTTGGACGAAAATATTTTTTGAAAAACTCGAAAAACAGAAGCTTGAAACATCAAAGCACTATACTTGCAGTCATATGTAATGCGATGGAGAAGTTTCACTATTGCATGATTGGTATATGTAGAATTACTATCAAATTCTTTCAAGAGCAGACAGCAGTTTTGTAAAATTTTCGGTTTTGCAAATCTTAAAAATAATAATTAAAACTTAGAAATGAAAATTTACTATTTAAAAATTTGAAAACATTAATTAAAATAATAAATATCTTACTTTTTTACAAAATCTATGAATTCAAAATTTGCTTCTTCTGTTCTAATTTGACTAGACTCTTCTTCGTCATCTTCTTCCTCATCTAAAAAATAATTTGGTTTGTATACGTCATTATATCAACATGAATTTACAATATTTTTTTTAGAAGTTCTTTAGATGTATGAATGGTCCAAACTCAAGCATTGTGTCGGCCTGGCATATCAAAGGCCCATGGATCTGTTTTTTTTATAGGGGTCCATAATGAAATACAAAGACCCCAAAAAAATTTACTTGACACTGTGTTGAAAAAATGCTCACTACCATTTTTTAAAATTCTGATTTTTTGAATTTTTAAGAATACCTAAATGCTATATTTTCAAATAACTGTTATTTTTTGTACTACTTAAGGAGTGTTCTGTGGCAATACAAACTTCTATTTTTCAAAAATAACCACCATTTTTACTGCAAAATTATTTAAAAGGTGATTTTATTGAAAATGTTGATGTATCTAAAATCTAAATCTAAATTTTAATAAGTAGTTGCTGAATTATTAAAATGTTTATACTAAAGATAATAATCCTTTAATATAGTCAACAATAATATTATCAACTATAGATATTATTAGAACTATAGAATATTAGATTAGTATTCAGTATACTTAGATAATTTTGTATCTATATAGATCTATAGTATTTACTAATATTTTCTACACCAAGTTCTATAACTCAAAAGATAAAAACTACTTATTATAATTTTGATGTATCTAAATCAAAATTCTCAACAAAAATAATAACTGCTGGATAATTAAGAAGTAAAAAAGGTGATTCCTATTTGAAAAACAAAAGTTTGTATTGTCACAGCATTATCCTTAAATGTGCAAAAAATCTCAAGTATTTGAAAATCTTCAAGTGTATTTAAAAATTCCAAAATCATAATTTGAATATGTATATAATTTAAGCAAACAAATAGGGTGAGCACAATTTAAAAATCACCTTTTATAATATTAATGCAGAGCCTGGAGCTGGGAATCATTTGTCGAATAATAAATGATGAAAATACAAAATAATAAATAATAATAATAATAATTAATTATAAAAAAACGTAAAATTATATTTCTATTACAGAATTTTAATTTTGAAGACAAATCCAACTACTGAAAACTAATCTTCATCATTATTATATATAGACTATAGATATAAGATATATAAAGGACTATACATAGGTATAGACATATTAAATAGAATTGTAAATCATACATATTTTGGTATGCAATATTTAAATGATTGCTGAATCTAACAGCAGGCTGCAATTGGGTTTCTCGTGGCCTTGCCCGAATTCATTGTTTTTAAGGAGAGAAATAAAAACTAACTTAACCTAAAGCTGGAAATTAATCCGAAAAATCACCTTCCCCTGCTTGTTACTTGACACTCATACTATTATGCCTGGCTCAAACCTCAACATGATAGACAAGCATCTGGGCCCAGTAAAGAAAAAATTCTCCTAATTATGTACAGTTAAATATTTTTATAAATACTTTATGGGGTTTCTACTCCCTATTTAGACCAGGAACACGCCAAGCAAGTAATAAAAAATTACAAGACTAAAAAAAACAGAAGGATCACAGCGGCGTTTGCAGCCAAGCCGACACTGATGTTAATGTAAATTGGTGTTAGTATAAAAGCATACTAATTACTTATTGTTAATTACCTATATTAAAATAATTTTAAAATGTTATAATGAATACTTTAAATTATACAGAGTAATTTGATTCATGTAACACACAAATTTTGGTTATCAATTTATTAAAAATTGTTTTTTTAAATCTATATTATTTATAAGTATTCACAATTCTTATCTATACTTTATCAAAACGGTGTATCTATAGAAGAATAATAGTTTATAGAAAATCGAGTACAGTACACTCAAATAATTCATTCATCACTAGCATTAATAATTCAATATCCATAAAAATATTTATCATAATTCATAAATATGCCAAACATACCACCAACATTGATATTTTCGGTATCATTTAAATCATTAGATTCTGTAACGTTTTCATCATAACCTGAAATTAAAAATAACAAGTAATGTTGATGATCAAGTACTTAAACCATACCACGTAAAAACAGATATATATATAACTATACCTATGGGCGTTCCAAGATCAGCATGGAAAATTTGTTTTAAAATGTCTAATTCATCATCGCTATTTAGCCCTGGTTTTCCAAAATAACTGTCCTCGGGCCAAACTTCCCTAAAACATACACAGTTGTGAAATAAAAACATTAAGCACTTAGGTACTATACAATAAATATTTATATATTTTGTTTTATTGTTTTTAATAATATATTAAACTTAAAAAAAATATTGTTTTTTAATTGAATAACTTATGAAGTCAACAGGAATATTGATAAAACAAAAATAATATTATGTATGTATTCTTTTATAAGCAATTACTTACCTAGAAGCTCTTAATAGTTGTACAGATTCTTCCAAACGTTTATTTCTTATATGTATTCGTATACGTTGCATGGCTTCAACTCTTAAAATATTTGATCATAATATCATATAACAATAAAATACAAAAAAAAAAATTTAATTCAAATTACTTTTGGTCTTCCATTGGCACTTCAGATATAGGGTCATAAGGTCTTGCTTCAATGGCTTCAATAGCTAGTTCACGTATTTGAATAATTTCTTTGAGGTCTGGACTGAAATTATTCCACATATCATCATCATTTTCTGGAGTAACTTGAGTAGCAGTTTTGGTTTCTAAAGAAAATAAGTAAATAGTTTAAAACAGAGAGAAATAATATTTTATTATGTAACAAATGTTATACTTTTGGAAGTCTTTTTCTTTCTTGCTTTGCACTGCACAATCAAATTACGCTGTTTTTTCCCTACATGCTCTAAAAGTTTCATAAAAACATGATTTGTTTCAATAAGATCCTTGAGGTAAATTCTAAAACATATAAAAATATATAAAATTTGAAGAACATAATTTATTTTATTAATATTTACTGTGAGAATTTTGTTTCATCATATAAATGTAGCAAACTCAATAGCAAATCTCTATACTCAACCATGTAAAATAAATTAGTTAAAATTGTCCGAGCACTAGATTCTAAAGTTGGATTTTTACTTTGATACATCACTAAGAGTGTTTCCATTAATTCCTAAAGAAGATATAAATATTCACTCAATTCAATGTTACATCATAAAATACTCAATAAATTTACTTACTTTATATGCTTTAAGTCCTAAATGCATGCGTTTAGACCAAATAGGGATTTTTTTTTTATCAGTTATCAATTTTTCACGGCTTTCTTCAATGCGTTCTTGGACAAAATGAAATATGTTTAAAGCCATAGTTTCGCTGGAAGCAAATTGAAATATAATAATTAATAAAATATCTCAAGTAAATGGTAACCACTAAACAGAAATATTACCTAACTAATTTAATTTCAAATCTATAATTGCGATTAAATTCCATGAAAAATTGCATTGCCCAAAAATAATATGACTCATCATTGGGCTGGCCTTTTGAACGCACTAACATTTCCTTAAACAAAAATATATATTGAATTAAATATTTATGTGAATAGTTAAAAATAGACTAAAACTAAAAAATCCTCACTCTGACATATTTCATTAACATGTTATATGCCCCATGTAAAAATTCAACACAGAACTCTTTTAAGAAGAGTCTAACACTAAACGCAGATTTGCGTTCAATACCAGCATCTCTCATAGGTAATCTGTTACGAGGAGTTTTAAGAGGTTTCTGAAATTAATTAATAAAAATAACATTAATAATTAAGTGTGTGACACTTACACAATTGATAGAAAGATGCATTTAAGTCATAACAAACCTTGTGACGGTCAAAAGCTTTATTTATGTTAGATGTCATTGATGAAACAACCATTTCGTTTTCACCAATTGATTTCATACCAGAAACAACGTATCGGCCTCCAAATTTTGAATGGCGCGATCCACTATACTTTTTAAGCTTATCCATCTTTTCTTTTCGTTCTTGATCCATAACTACTTTGAGATCATGTTCATCCCTCTGTTTTTCAGTCTCAGTACGATTGACTGATGCATTTGCAAGTTCTGCTGCTTTTTGATCTCGAAGCATGAGTGAAATAATCTATGGAATTTTTTTAAATAACAGATATTAAGCAAAACATACTACAGTGGACGCAGCTTTTAAGATTCACGGATATAAGGTTTAGTCACTTATTACACTCAAATTTGTCTGGAACGGCCTGGACGTATCCAGATACATTATAAAATTTTATTATAAGACTTAAATTTCATATAAAAATGTATTAGGAAATGAACATTTTTGGTTAAAATTTAGAAATAAATTTGTTTTCAAAAATTAAATATTTTTATAATAATATAATTTTAATATTTTAATCATAATTTTTTCATTTATTCACTAATAACTAATATTTAATATGTATTAAAGTAGATTCAAATAAAAGCAAAATATGTAGCAAAATAAAATTCATAAATATGTAATTACAATTTTTTTTCCCCTCACTTTGCCTATAAGATTCATGTGGTTATAAGACCCACTTTGTATTGGTCCCAAAGCAAGTCTCATAAGAGGCAACCACTGTATTATATTATAAATATTTTTGGAGATTTATTTAAAACGAAAATATTGATATTAGTGCTTTTATGCAATCAATGCTTACTTCTAATGCATGTAAATAGTATTGCTCTTCATTAACTGAACATGTTATATACATGATGATATCAATGAGTTGACTCTGATGCAATGCCCACAGGACCTAAACAATTTCAGAATTATTAAAGGTTATATAAAAATTAGGATTAAATAATTAATTTACTTGATCATGTAAGTTTGCATCATTGTCAGGTCTACACTCGGCATCATTATCTGCAGGCACATGCAGTATATTACGGACTAAAATGAGAAGTCTCACCGTGGACAATACTTTTTCTTCTCCTTTCTCATGGTACTCCTACAATAAAAGTAATACACTAATTAATAATGTTTAATTTCAAAAGTTTTTTTTATGAAAGTCATACATACCGCCTGTATAACTTCTGCCAATTTATTCACTATTATTTTCCAGACATTGATGTCTGTAAATGCTCGTTTGTATTTTTGTAGGTGTGACACTATTTGCAAGTAATTTTGGCTCTGCGTTTTCTCAATGGGTGGCTGTTCGTTATATATCAATAATGCGGGCGTTGTAAGATTGACTAATAGCCGTATGATTAAATCAAACAAATCTGAATCGTTTGAGTATTCGACCAGTATTGGTAACAAATCAGTCTCCACAATATTTGCTGTACCAAGGTGGCGACGGATTTCATGGTCATCTCCATCACGTCTCAAAAACTTGATGAGATCGCGAACGGCCTCTGCAAAAAATGACCAGCGTTCAAATTGAAAGTGCGCTATATTATAAATTTATTTATAACCAAGTTATACCTGAACATTGCGGATCAATGCAATACTTTTCAGCTCCTGCACATCCTAATGAATTGCAAGTAGCGGTCAATTCGGCATGAACTAATGCCATCACTTATGTTTGACTTGAAAAAAAATTATAATTATTAGTTAGCCAATTTAACAGTGATTACAATAGGAATCAAAATTACAATGAGTACATTTCAAACACAATTGACTATTACAAGGGTTAAGTCATACTTAGAAAACGATTAGAAAGACTTTTGAATAATTTTATGCGGACTAGACGACTAATAAGTAATAACTTATACTTACGTCACAAAGATTGAAGCATAACTAGTGTACTGAAGTCATAAATGTACAACCTTATGGAAACACGATTTAAGTGGGTGAATCGTGTATTGAAAAAATAATTGATAGCTAATAATTAATAAATAATAAATATTAAGTAACAACAATGAGGGGAAATTGGAAATTTTTATTCTTAGTTACTATAGTCTATAAATACTAATGAGTTAATGAGTTAAGCTTAAGAGTAATGAAAATTAATAATTATGATGAAAATTATTTTTTAAATGTTATTTCATACTTAGGTGATGATTGTAGATAAGAATAAATAAATAATGAAAAACGCGCCAAAATACGACTGATGTGAGATGTGACCAACGTAACGAACGACGACAATAACCGACTGCATTATTGTACAATAATAATAGTAGTAATAATAATAATTATAATAGTCATATTTTATTAAATAAATAAATATATTATAAATTATAATGTATATTAATATATTATACGTTAATACCCCAAAGGGTAAGATAGTGAGTAGTACTGAGTACAATAATGGAAAAACAAAATTATCTTTAAATTAACATTAAAAGAGAAAACGGAATACATATCGAATACAAATTATAGGTAGGTACCAGTAGGTAGGTACATAAAATAATAAAATTAAGTTATCAATGCATTATGCAAGTTTTTAGCTTAGAACCATAGATAATATCATAATATATAAAACATTGTCTTATAACATGTTATAATTATTATAACATGTTTTATATATCTATACTTAGAAAGTTAGAACAGGAATCGGAAAAAATATCAAAGTTATGAATTTGATTAAGCCCCGTTCACACGATCAAATAATTTGTCAAATATTTGACATTCGTCAAACTCCAAATATTTTAGAACGATTTCTAAAATATTTGAAGTTTGACATACATCAAATATTTGACAAATTATTTGATCGTGTGAACGGGGCTTTACACATTATTTGTGAGCGACACATCAGACTTGTTGTAAGGTATTTATTTTTAGAATGAGTTGTATACAATATTGTAATAAGGACATAAGGTCAATTTTTTGTAACAATTAATTTAGGACAGTCGATAACACCATTCAAGATTTTATACACAAATATATTACTAATAAGTACTTATAATAATTTATTTATAATACACAATTTATTATGACTTATCAATTTATGATTATAAAATATAAACTGTTTGGCTATAATATGAATTCGTAAAAACTAATTCTGTGGCTTGGCGCATGAAGGGCCGATGTCTAAAAATAGAACATTGTTGGGAAATTTAATTTTAATATGCCAATTTTTAAAAAAATTATAAGGGTTGTTAAATTATGGGTTTAAGTGTTTAACATTAAAGTTTTGGAATTTTGATGTGTGCTTTTATTTTCCATTCTTAATTTAATGAAACATCTGTTTTTTACGAAACCAGAAAGTGTATTGGCGATTGAAAGCTTATCAATGTAACGGGAACGAGGTGTATCATTTGTATGTTATTTTACCAGTTCTTCGTTACAGATCCACCCCCGCCGGCCTGAAAACTGATAGGTTTTCAATCGCCAATTAGTTTTATTTTCACTTTGGCTTTCAATTAATAAATAGGTAATAAATACAATGGCCAACTGCCAACAACTAAAATTTAAAATAAACGTGATATTTGAGAATTATTTTTAAAAATGTTTAAATGTGTGTTTTTGCATTCTCAATATTTTGGTGGAATCAGAAATTACCTATTGTACCTACTCATTTTTTATGTTATTGTTAATGAAGAAATAAAAAAAAAAACAATGCATTTTCGATGTAGATTTGTGGAATAATTTGCGTATGCACTATGCGTATTGCGTGAAACACGATCTACCGTGAACTTCAAAAGATTTTGAACTTTGAAACTAAGTCTGACCGACAAATTCTGATTGTACCATAATTATTGTTCCTATAACTCGTTGAATTACATCATAGGTTTTCGAAAAATATTCCAAAAATCGCTTGCTAACTGCATTTATGCCCCCATCAAAATTAATACATAATATTTAATCTTAATCATGATTTCTTTTCGAAATTATATAAGACACGGATGACGGATCCATATAATTTTCATCATAAAAACATATAATATTCATTTCTATTAAGTCTACGTTTGTAAAAGTTGGCCATGTATAAAGATCATAATGTCGAAGTAGATATTTATACTGTTTATATACTATATATAGTAACAAATTATATTGCTAGGATATACCTAGATACATTTTTTAAATCACCACAATATTATTATTATAACATAGATTAACTTAAATTTTTAAAAACAGATTTCAAACGCACAGACACTCGATAAATACTTTTAACACGAACTAATAAATACATTAAACTTAATACTATATACGAAAACTATGTTAGTCAGTCCAGTGGACAATAATGCAGGTGGTTCATGTCGGGGTAAACAGAATAACAACCAACAGTGCAGTCTGCCTCGTCAGAAGTCCGAATGTTCGGTGAGTAACGTTCGCGAACCATTACTGGCGAACCTGGAGATTAGTTTCGACGAGGAACCAGAAGCAGACTTCTGTAAAAACGACACCTACGCGGAGAGTGACGACAGAGAAGCCACTGGTTGTTGCAGAATCGCCAAGAACGATACCTGCAGCACGGAGAGTGACGACAGAGAGGCCACTGGTGGTAACACGATCGCCAAGAACGGGGACTGCGGGGCTAGGCCACGGGAGGAAAGCTGCAAGCCCGCAAAAGAGCCAACGAGAGCTGATGCGAGTAGAGACGATCCGAAGAACGTCTGTTGCCGTCAGCCGACCTTCGATGACCAGCAGCAGAAGGGTGCAGGGTCGTCGCGACGGAACAACAAACCGTGGATGGGCTGTGAATCACTGCTGCAGGTTTCGACGCCTACGGAAGCAGACTTCTGTAAAAACGACACCTGCACGGAGAGTAACGACAGAGAGGCCACCGGTTGCAGCAGGATCGCCAAGAACGGGGACTGCGGGGCTGGGCCACGGGAGGAAAGCTGCAGGCCCGCAAAAGAGCCAACGAGAGCTGATGAGAGTAGAGACGATCTGAAAAAGACCAGCTGTTGCCGTCAGCCGACATTCGATGTCGAGCAGCAGAAGGGCGTAGGGTTGTCGCGACGGAACAACGAACCTTGGACAGGCCACGAATCGCTGCAGGTTTCGACGCCTACGGTCCGGCCCTACAAAGACCCGACCACCGACAAAATATCTGCACCGCCGCCGAAGTCAAACAATCGGACCGTGACCAACCGATCGGATGGTGTACTGCAGGAATTCGAAAAAGAATTGAGCAGGGTAGAACAGCGTCGGGCGCAATTGATGCGGTGCATCGAGCGCAAACAGCGAGCATTGATGAAAGAAAACCGGGAAGGGCGAACATCAATACAAACCTATTGCGAACAACAGGGTTCAGGTGGCGAGAAACAGCCACTACACGACACTAGAGACCGTCAACCGCCCCAACAGGATACTAGGGAACGTCGACAGCCTCAGTATGACACTAGCAAACGTCAACCGTCACAGCATAATACTAGCGAATGTCGGCCGTCACAGTACGACACTACAGCACACCGACCGTCACAGTACGACACTAACAACCGTCGACCTTCGGAGTACGAAATGAGAGAACGTCGATCGTCCCATCACGACTCTAGAAAACGCCGACCGTCACAGGACGACACTAGAAAACGCCGACCCTCACAAGACGATACCAGAAAACGCCGACCGTCCCAGCACGACACTAGGAAACGCCGACCGTCACAGGACGACACTAGAAAACGCCGACCCTCACAGGACGACACTAGGAAACGCCGACCGTCACAAGACGATACCAGAAAACGCCGATCGTCCCAGCACGACACTAGAGAACGCCAAAGTTTGAAAGGCGAAAATCGTAAACAGCCACAGGGGGGCAGTTTTGCCTTCGAATGTTTCTGCAATTTCATTAAGAAAGACAACAGTTTTAACACCGGTTCAGCCACAAAACAGGTACAGCGCAATGAGTCTTACCAGCCGTCGGCGCGAGGTGTGAGCGATGGCAACAGTTTCTGTCCGAAACAGGTGTCGTCTAGGCACAACAACAACAACAATGCCTATAACAATACCGGAATGGAGGTCGGGAGAAAAGACGCCACTTCGACCGGACGCCACGACGGCTCCGGCCGCCGCAGCACGCCACGGAATGACGCCACTGGGACGTCATCGGACTTCGCCGAGCAGAACCGTAGTCGTCAAGACTCTTTCCAGCCACGCGGCTGCCCGCGTATAAGGGTGGTGGATTTGATAAGCTTTATCAATAACAGTTCTGTTACGTCAATTGGTGGCACTCAAAAGCGAAATAATCGAGGGTGGAATGAAACACAATAATGCTTAACGCAACTCATTACTATTTTAGTAATTTAAATATAAAACAAAATTAATTTTAAAAATAGTTTATTTTTTTAAATTTCACAAAAAGTTAAAATGTTATAAGTTGTTATATTATTAATAACTTATATTATCATATAGCATCAGAAGTAGAGTTAGCCTCAGCCCACAGAGGTTCCCGACGAATTCGTTCATGACATTGCAGGAACAAAAAGCTTCTAAAAACATAATCGTGAGATTCGTGTAGGCTAAATATATATGGTTAATATAGTTGCTACTTATGCTACCGAATTTGAAATGCTGAATAAACTTTATATGGTAACTTTATATTGTAGATACTTGTCTTACCAGTTATAGGCTCAACTTGTTTCTTTTTATCTTCTTATATTGATTAAATATTTAAATTACAAGACATCTTATAACACTTTTATAATGATTGATTTCCTGAGATTTAAAATTATTGACAATCGGATATGGAATTTATGATCACAGTTTCATCTAAAAGAGGAAGAATAAATTAATTACTACATAAGACCTATTTATAATAAACTCTTGATTAAAGTACCTATAGTACCTATACCTTTTTTTCATCTTTGTGTGGTATCTCAACTGGAACCACTATAAAATTACTTCCACCTCTGAATGATTAAAGTACCTAGGACCTACTCCCAATTCCCATGGCTAAATAACTTTAAATAAATAGTTAGGTTTAGAAAAACCTATCTAAAATCGGTAAAATGAATGAAAAATAAAAATTATATAAAGAAAACCGATCTGTGATCATATATATTCCTAATTTATTGATGAATATAAAATTTTTGTTTTATACTTTTATCGATTTTACCGATCTTAGATTAAAATTAAAAACAAAAAATAATTTTATAATTATAATAATTTGATAAATTTATTTTCACAATACAATTTTATGAAAGACTTTTTATACTGAAAAATTTCACGCACTACATTAGTCAGTAATAATGTTTATATTGGTGTATTCAGTCGGACGTCGGAAAATATGTTTTGTTTTTATTATTTAAACACACAAACTTCTCGTTTTCACGATAGATAACAGAAACTTGAATTCTGCGTTTACATTATAGTCATAACATAAAAAAAATACTTTATAATATTATGTCTATGGTTTAAAATTTTAAATCTCAAGGCACATGTCCTAACAGTATGCCCTGCATTGCCCTCGATCGTCTTTTAATTTCACCGCTAGACAGCGTGCCCTATTTGATTTCTATTTAATTTTCAAATTTCTATCAAAAGTATAGAAAAAACATACTGTTTACCTATGTATAATATTATGCTGTAATATTTATAATATACTATAGTATTGTAGTTCCTTAGTTAGGTAGGTAATGTTTATTTTAAGCCAGAATTTTCGTATTTTTTAAACGCAGCCTGCAGGAGACAGACTTATAACATGGAATACAATAGACTTTAGGTTTTGCGGGGCCCGAGGAAAATTATATCAATTCTTATTTTGCAATTACGTAACCTAACCCCAGTATGTAAATATTGAAATATTGTACTTAAGCTAGAACCTACAGGGTAAAAATACCCACTCAATAACGTTGGCGATCTTTGTATATATTATATAAGAGGAAAAAAACCAAAATTATAATATAACTCTTATAAGCAAGTAATAAATAAATATAATTTGACTCGGTATAACAAATTGTATAATCACAGAATATAATATACTATAGGTATCTATTTATCTATTATTTGTGTTATCAATATTATAATCTATGATGTTACAGGGGCGGACTTGCTACTTTTGGTCCAGAGTGCAAAACTAATTAGGGGCCCGTAAATTTTTTTTAAAGTTACTAAAATTAGGAAAGAGTTCTACATTACAATAAGAGTTAAATTTAAGAAAGGGCCCGAAAATGGTAATCAGGACCTGTATTATAATAACGATTAGGGGCCCGGGGTGCTACCTGGTTTATAGCATCCTGGACCAGTCCACCCCTGTGATGTTATGAAGCTTAAAATGCTCCGTATATAAATTAATTTAAATATAATAAAAATAATAAAAATATGAATATAATATCTAATAGGTATATCAGCTGTAGTATTATCGATATTATTCTATAATGTTAGCATGTAGGTAGGTTAATAATTTCCATATTTTACAATATATTAAATTCAGAACTCTGAAAAGAAAACTTTCCGAGACACGATAATATGATGCAGTAAAGTTAGTCAGCACAATGGTCAATAGAATATTTTTATATGATCTTCATATTTCTCCAATTTCAACTATATGTTCTTGAGAATATAGACAGTATTAGTATATCTACCAGAAATTTCTAAAACTAAAATGCATGTTGTAACAGAAAATTAAACTACTTTTTAGTTTTTATATACAGAGTGATCATAACATTTATTCTATCATATTATAATTGACCTATTATGCTCATTTATTCAGATTTTTCTCAATAAAAATGTATATGACATATTTTTTTCTAAAACATGCTTAATATATTATGATTATAAATATTATAATAATATATTATGTACAACACAAATTTGTTTAAATACAATTAAAATTAAGTTATCGATGTAAATAATACTTATATCCCAATGGCCTATGGCGCCGAGGGTATTTTTATTAATAACTAGACGAACCGTAACAGCTTCGATCGTGATTGGTTGTTTATTTTTCCTTCGGACGATGATACCTATGAATATTTTTTTATTCAAATTTTATCGTTTAATGTGATCGGCAAGTAAATATACAAAACGGTTAAAGAAAACGTATTGAAATGTTTCTACCTAGCGGTATTAATGATAAATATATTTTTATTAAAAATAGCTGACCCCGTGCACTTGGTTGCCCGTAAAATGTACCGACTCTATATGACTCAAACTTTGTTCAATTCGTTATTTAATATTCGGTGTATGGCGTTCAAAACTTATCTTAACTTTTCCGTTGCCCAGAATAAAAATTCTGATTCGCAGCAGTATATTGGCAGGTAGGTCGCGGTGGATCGCGGACCCCGTGCTTTTTGTACATAAGTGTATGATTTAGCTCTAGAGTATCAAAGTTATAATATGAAGTTTGTCGTTTTTACTTAATATAATCAATTAATACAAAATCCTAACCTAACCTAACTGTACTAAAATCCGATGAATAAAAAAAAAACCAAATTTAACCCTTTTTAAATTAATCTATCTTCTTCCAGAGGTCTAATCTACACACAAACGTTCATTTATATATACCTATAGCTGTCCTACCCGGTGTTGCCCGGGAAAAAGTTACTTCTGGTGAAATACATTGGACTATATTATAACTTATACGTATAAGTCAAGGACTCAAAAACGCATTAATTGTAAATATATTATAGCTGATCTCGTTCACTTCGTTGCTCGTTAAAATACGTAAAAACTTTATATGATATGATTCAAACTTTGTTCAATTCGTTTATTTAATATTCGGTGTATATGAGACACGCAGTATGTTAAATGTTTTCAGATAGACAATCCACCTGCAGTGGATTGCAGACCCCTCGAAGTGCGTACGTAATTACGAATGTTTTATTAACAGTTAACAGTTTATATTGCGATGTGCATGTGTCGAAAAATTAGTCTTGGGAATACCTTTTTTACCAAGCTACAGGTCTAAAATTATTTTCATTATTTAATCATGACCAATATAGGCAATAGTAACCTTACAATAAACAAAAATATATTATTATTTAGTTTCTTTTCTTACTGGATATATGGCACCTACATCCAGATTTCCTACTTTTCGGGTGGATTTTCTTAAAATGATCTTACTTCAGAGTTAAGAACCTTCTCCTGACAATTACGAATACAACAAAAAAAGAAATAACGAAACTGTCCAGCCGTTCAAGCGTGATGCCGCGTCCAAAGGAATATAATATATTTAATTTATATATTATATACAGGGCCGGTTTTAAGGGGGGGCACCGGTGGGCAATTGCCCGGGGGCGGCAAAATTATCTCAGATAAATAAACAAAAAATTAATTTTTTTCGTAAAGAGAAAGATTTCTAAAAAATGATATATTTTATTATTATTTATTTTTTAAATTCACATATGCATACATTTTTTTTTACCTATATTTTATCATTTTAAATAAAGAGAAATAAACGTTATTAACTGAGTAGGTAGGTACCTAACATTATTAAAAATTAGTGGGTTTATTTTTACTAGTAAACTGTAAAACTAGACGTATAGTATAACTGCGTTGGCCCGTATTGGCAAATCAGGATTATCGATTGTACTTATTTAGTTATTTACTGGCTACTAAAATACATTTGTGTCATTTCATATTATACAACTTGCTAAACTCTATATGTCAGTGACTACGTACTCCGTACCTACATAATTTAAATCTCAATAAGTGAACTAATATAATAGAAATAAGAGTTTACTTTTTTTTGAATTGTTATATAAAATAAAATATTATTATTATTATTATATTATTTATAATAATATTAAAACTTTCAACTTTATAATTGATTTTGTAAGGTTGTGCCAGTTAAGGTAGGTACACTACAATTACACAGTTTAGGTTCACTTAAATTACATTGCAAATCTGCATACAATTATTGGATATATTTATATGTTTATATATTTATACATTATACATATGAATTGAATGCAGTAATTTAGTCATAGTGGCAAGTAGGTAAATAATAATTAATAAGTAAGACTAGATAAGTTTAATTGTGTCATAACAATTTTTTAGTTGAAATTATAATTTAATGGAGCTAAAAAGAGTCAAAGCTAGTGGTGTATGCAATGGTAAGGAGCCAAAAAAAAGAAGGAAAAACCTAATGAAGATATAACTTATAAGAAAAACAAACGAAATAAATACCATGTTTAAACTTAAAAGAGAAGAGCATAGTGAGAAAGTAGAAACCATAGTTTGGAATTCAAAGTAAACACATATTTAGTGATTTGTGATTCTATAATAGAAGAATTAACAAGTCGAAAGTTAGCTTACGATAATGTCATAAC